CAGGTGGCGAAACCACTGAGCTAAATCCGCGGCCCGATTTTGTAGTTTTTTAAAGGGCCTCACATATGTGAGAGACGTGCCCCACCCCAGGCCCTTCATCCATCCATCACAGAACATCAGCGCCCCCCAGCCCTGCTCCTGGCCCTAGTCACTGATGGCCTCGAGCCTGGGTTGGCCAGCATGGATCCCGCACTGGCACTGACCCACAGCAGGGCCTGGGACTGCTGCTCAGGGTGACCCCTTCAGCGTGTGTGCACCCTGGAGCCGGGCTCAAACTGTCCATTTTTTAGTTTAAAGTTTTTCCTATGGACCTTTTTCTCTGCTTTGCTGTCACTGCAGGTGCAGAAGAACTGGAAGCCTGGTGTTCAGGCCCGTGGCTTCAGCTTGAACTTGCTGGCTTAAGTGGGAGGCTGCTTTTTCAGTCAGTACTGGGACTTGAACCCAGGGAGCACTGAGTTCTATCCCTAGTCCTTTTTTTAAATTTTTTTTTTTTTTTTTGGTACCGAGGATCGAACTTGGGACCTTGCGCTTGTGAGGCAGACGCCGGAACCACTGAGCTAAATCCCTGGCCCTTTTTTTAAAATTTTTGAGACAGGGTCTCACTTAAGTTGCCCAGGCTGGACTCAGGCTTATGGCCCTGCCTCTGCCTCCTGTGTAGCTGGGACTGTGTAAGCACCAGTGTGCCCGGCTGGTGGACAGTTGCTTAGAGTCACTTTGAGTACAGAGGGACTGAGCCTGGAGACCCACTGCATGGCTTCAGCCTGAGTGCACTTTCAGGGCAGGAGGCTCCCAGGTAGTCCTTTTCTGTATGGTCCTGGGGTTGAATCCAGCGCCTCTACACAGCGCCATCCCCAGTCTGTCTAGTTTCACGTTGAGGCGGGGTCTCCCTGAGTTGCTCTTGGGGTCTATGCTGGGGTCACTTCCCATCTCTGAGCAGAGCCTGGTGGGCCCCAGTCTCCCTTGGAGCACCTGCGAGCTGTTCTTGTTGCTAAAGGTAGGAATTAGACAGTTGGACCTGATAAAGTGTCAGCAGGCCCAGGAAGGGAGTCACGGCAACAGGTCCAAGACCCTGAGGAATGTGCTTACTGTGTGTCACAGATATATACAGTAAAAGTACCAACAGTACATTATTCAGAACCCTGGCCAGGGCACTACTCTGAGAGGTGGTACCGTGCTGGCCCTCCAAGGGTGTCCAACTGGGCCACCAGAGGCCCATAGTATGTTCACAATACTACATGCAAAAGGAGCATCATGTGTTGAGGGAGGCTGAGGCAGGAGGATCCCAAGTTCAAATACTGCCTGGGCAACTTAGCAAGACTATCTGAAGGTTAAAGAATAGAAAGGGCTGGGATCATAGCTCAGTGGTAGAGCACCCTTGGTTTGATCCCTAGTACTGCCAAATACATAACCCATCTTTTATAAATTTGTTAGGTGTCCATTTAAAGTCTGAATAGGGCTGGGGATTTCGCTCAGTGGCACCGCACCTGCCTCGCAAGTGCAAGGTCCTAAGTTTGATCCCTGGTACCAAAAAACATAAAGTCTGAATAGATAATTGCCTTATGAGTACAAAGTCACTAATCTGAAGGTTAGTAAAGGTGCAGCTCTAAGTGGCATTAATGTGATTTTTGCTTCATGACCCAGCTGTTCGCTAAGCATTACTTTGAAATACAAATGTAGCCAAAACTTGGGGTGGAGCTGGGAGCCGGGGTCTGGTGTGCTCTGTGATTTGTCTGTGGCTCTTTGGTAATCTCTGAAGTTTGGGTTATTTTTAGCTCTCTCTGTTCAGGTGTGTTCACCCTCAGCTCTTTGTCTTTCAGGGCTGGGCTCATGTCTGTGTGTCCGTTCAGGGATACATCTTCCCAGCTGCCCATGACAGGTGTCAAGCTAGAAATGGCTTCTGAGATTGTAAACCTCACGGCCTTTCTGCCCCGTCCTGGGTGTCTCACAGCCTCACCTGATCACGAGGACCAGTGCGATTCTCCTGGAGACGTGGGCTCTGGGGGCCCCTGAACTCTTGTTTCATTCTCTTGTTGCTCGGTGGGAATGGAAAGAGCTGACCGTCTCAGAATTTCTGCCTCCTGGGAATGAATGCTGGCTGCAGGCCCCCGGCCCTTCTTTCTCCATGACTGGGTGTTGAACCTCAGGCCTTCTGATTCTCTAGCCAGCCTCCCCTCCTTTCTAAAAAATTTTTGACCCAAAAAAAAAAAAAAAATTTTTTTTTGAGATGGGCCTGATTTGCCCAAGCTACATCTGAACTTGTGGCTCTCCGTCTCAGCCTTCCAGAGAGCTGGCATTACAGGTTGCACCGGCTCGAGTTTGTTTCTTGATACACTGACTTGGAAGCTACAACTTAAAAACTTGGTGTTGCATACTGCAGCTGGTCTACCCAGCCTTCAGTGATTGAGCGTAAAGCTCTTTGCATAGTGATCTAAGATACCACTGGTCAGAGGGCATGGTGGTGCCCACCTGTGATCCCAGCACCCTGGGAGGCTGAGCCAGGAGGATCACAGATTTCAGCCAAACCAGGCATGGTGCCGCATGCTTGTAATCCTAGCACCTGGGAGGCTGAGGCAGGAGGATCACTGCAAGTTCGAGGCCAGCCTGGACTACATAGTGAATTCCAGACTACCCTGACCTGCACGGCGAGACTTGTCTCAAAAAAAAAAGGCCCAGCCTGACAACTGAGCAACTTAGTGAGACTGTCTCAAAATTTAAAAAGGGCTGGGAACGTAGCTTAGTGTGAAGGCTGGGGTTCCATTCGAGAGGGGAGGGGGATGCCACCTGTCTTTCATCTCTTGTTCAGACATCAGGAAGGCCTCCCCCAGCCTGCCTAGTCCCCACTGTGCTGGCCTCTCCCTCCCTGGCTGGTCCCACTGCTGGAGCCAGGGGTGTCATGGGGCCAGCGTTGTCGCCCACTGACCCTCACACCGTGAGCAGCAGTCACTGGAAGAACTGGTTTCTCTCTCAGGGCCCACCCTGGGGCAGGGCTTTGATGTTCGACTCACAGGATGGCAGGAGGCCTTCCCTCAGGGCACTTGTTGGGGGCAGGTGGCCGGCTTTTGTCACTTCCTTATCCCCTCCTGGAAGACGGGCTCTGTTCGGGTGCTAGCTGGAGTCTGACCTGGAGGAGGTTGCACGGGGACACTGTCAGGCACTGTGGTGTCAAGGGAGGACTTGGGGCTCAGGACTGAGAGGGAGAGCACTTGGGATGGGGCCTCTGGCTGGGGTGGCTGCTCTGGTGTCCCAGTGGCTGGCCACAGCCCTGCTGCCCTTGGCAGGGCCTGTCCTATGACTTGACCAGCTGCATCATCTTGCAGTGGTCACCACACCCCTCTTTCAGTTGAGCCCACAACTCTCTTGCTTGCTGCAGACCCCAGGCCCCACTGTCGGTGGCTGCATTGTGATCTCGGGCCCTGTCCCATGGGCACTGCCGACTCACCATCCACGGAGGCCCCACTGCCCTCCTGCTCCCATCCACTGAAACAAGGACTCCTGGGTGTCTCAGGCATCTGCAGGGACACCCCAAGAAGCACTGTGGTCTGTCTTGTGTGTGGAGGGCACGTGTCCCCCACATGATGTGCCCTGCTGCAGAGCTGTGTGGGTCCATTCAGAGGTGCACAGCCTGAGCTGTGTCATCAGCATCCTTGGCACTGCCTGGTGCTGAAGGCTGGAGCGGAGCTTCCCGGGGTGGCAGGTCACCCTTGCTCCTCACTCCCCTGTGCCTCCTCAGCTCGGCCTCATTGACGCTCAGCTCACAGTTCAGCATCTGCACCACTGGGTCCTGGGTTGCACCAGGACTTTAACACTGAGCTACATCCATAGCCACCCCCATACCCCCCCCCTTTTTTTTTTGGTACAGGGGATTGAACTCTGGTTCTTGCGCTTTTGAAGCGGGCGGCGAAACCACTGAGCTAAATCCTCGCTGCCCCCCCATTTTTTTTTTAAACAGTCCCCAAGTCTGAACTCAAACTTGTGACCCTCCTGCCTCATCCTCCTACAGTGCTGGGATTGCACATGAGAGCCACCACGCTCAGCCTTCTAGTCTTCTGTTTCCTTTAAAGGCTCTGGCTCCTCTTGGGGACCCCTTGGCTATTTGAGGCCTCCAGACTTGGCCCATCCCTGTCCACCTCAGCCCCAGTGCTCCCTACATGGGCTGTTGGGACTGGTCTGAGTGGCCAGTGGTCCTGCAGATGTCCCTGCTTGGCAAGACCCTTTAGACAGCGGAGGGGCCAGGGAGGGCTCCCCCCTGCCCGCTCAGCAGCCCGCTGTCTGGCTGTCTGTCCTGTAGGTGCTTTGTGCTTTTAAAATTTTTGCAGTTACCTCTGAAAACTGGTTTTGGTGAGAACTGGTTTGGGTGGTTATCTTTAAACCATGAAATAACTAGAGTCTCCTAGGGGAGGAGAGCCATCTGTGCCCTTTTATTTCCTGGCCTCACAGTGTTTTTAGCCAGTCCCCCAGGCCCCGGTCCGAACCCACAGACCTGCAGGCCACTGCTTTGCTCAATCCCTTGTGCTTGAGTGGAAGCAGCCTTGCAGCCTCCTGCTGTGACACGCGTTGATCTGGGTCAGACCTGCATGTGACTTGGTGTGGAGACCAGCTCCTTATCCAGGAGGGTTTCTTAAGCAGCTGGCTTATGATTGTCTTAGCCAGGGTCAACTTCCTTTCTTTTTTTGGTTTTGTTTTGAAGCTTTGTATGCTTTATGATGCTAGCCACAAACTGGGGTTAGAGGGCTGAATATTTGAAAAAACACAGACTAGAGATGCAGTAGTTCCCACTGCTTTCTTTCCCCTTTTTCGTGGTGCTGGGGATCGAACCTGGGCCTTGTGCCTCTTGGGCAAGGTCTCTGCCACTGAGCTACACAGCCCTCTCCAAGTCTCACTGTTCCCAGGCCGGCCTTGATCTCAGGCTCAAATGAACTTCCTGTTCTGGTTCAAATCTTAATCTGACAGTGTAGTGTGATGCTTTTATATTTGTAAACAAAACAAAAACTATTTTATAGTCTGGTTACTTCAGTTTAATCTTCAGGAGGACACAGTGGTCAGGAACAGGCACCCGTCCCAAGAGTGGTCACAGTCACTGCTAGGCAGGTGCCCCGCCCTGGTGCTGCTTAGTCTGAGGTCTGCAACAGGCACCCCTGGTGTGCCTGGCACGGTCCAGTGCTGAATGGACACGGCCCCTTCCTGCACGGCGTTGCTGGTCTCACTGGAGACCCTCTGTTGGCACAGAGGCCCCTAGCTGGCACCTGTACCATCTGCCTTGCTGTTGCCACCACCTCCGGGTTCCTGAGCAGGAGGCAGTAGGTGAAGTGTCCTAGGACCTCTGCCTGTTCACTTTATCCAGGACCGCCTGGGAACCACGCACAGTGGGCACATCCGTAATCCAAGCTGCTTGGGAGGCTGAGGATTGTGTTTGAAGCCAGCCTGGTCTATACAATGAGACAACCAAAACTGAGGTTGGTAGCGCATACCTGTAATCCCAGCAGCTGGGAAGCTGAGGCAGGAGGATCACTGAGTTCAAGACTACCCTGGGCTACATGGCCAGCCTGAACTACATAGTGAGACCTCATCTCAAAAAACCAACCCCCCACAAAAATGTAATAAAAGGGGCTAGGGATGTAGCTCAGTGGTAGAGTATCCTTGGATTTGATCCCAGAGTTTGGGGGTGGGGGGAGCATCACAATTCCTAAATGTGAGGCTGAGGGTGTAGCTCATGTCCAAGGCTCCATGTCTGATCCCCAGCATCCAAACAATTCCTGAGTAGCTGGTCTTTCCCCTAAAGTAGGATCAATAAGATGCTTGGCCCCAAATTGTCCATAGAGACTCAGATGAGCCCTTAGGCCATGGGGTGCCCCCTGGAGAAGGGAGCCCTTCTCTGCACCCTTAGGCTGTGGCCTGTGGAGATCCAAGGGTAGTGGTGCTGGTGCTGCTTCACAGAGCTCAGCCAGACGGCCAGGCCTTGTCACCCCCACAGTCCCTTCTCAGCTGGACCACAGCTTCTCCCTCCTGGGCCCTGTCATGATTTTCATGCTGCAGGTTTCCCGGGCCTTCCTGCTCCTGGAGCTCCCTTTTGGAAGCAGTGGGTTTCCAGAGTTTTTTCTGCTCTTTGCTGGGGTGCCTTTGGACTCTGTTTCCAGGTACCTTCGTGCCGAAGGCTCCTTTCAGAGGGAGCAGGCACTGCCCTTGGACATGATTGGCTGCCAAAGGTCAGCACGGCGGAGCTTTGGAGGGCTGCTTGGGTCTGTTTCAGAGAGGGCAGCGAGAGAAGGGAGCAGGGTGGCAACACCACTTCCGGGTTAATAAACAAAAGCTGCTCCCTAAGGCTCCTTAACGCTGGCCCCCAGCTATACGCAGAATGGAATCTTGCATATGTTGGACAGAAATAAGAGAATCAAGCCTCGGCCAGAAAGGTTCCAGAACTGCAAAGACCTGTTTGACCTGATCCTGACCTGTGAGGAGAGGGTCTACGACCAGGTGGTGGAAGGTGAGCCCCATGCAGCTATGCTCAGGAATCGCCGGAGGCTGCCTGCCAGCCAGGGATGGGGAGGGCATAGCATGAGAACAGAGGCCCGTGCCGAACTGTCCAGCTGCCTGGTGCTGGGGTCCTGGATGGCGAGCACGGGCCCCTGGGAGGTGGGCAGGCAGGCAGGGCTCTGCGGCCAGCTCTGCCCTGTATGAAGCTGAGAGGTGTGGGCTGTGCTGTGGGCACAAGTGCTACTCCTGCCATGTGAGGCCTCAGCCCAGGACAGACTGGACACCAAGGGTGGCCTTACCTTGAGCTTGATGTCCACCTAGGCCTTGAGTTCAGCCTTTGTCATGTAGGTGGCTCATCAGGAAGTCCCCAGCCTGGTCACATGTGCATTCCTCAGTTAGGTTACCAAACCAGCAACAGCTGAGCCCAGCCAGGGGCAGGTGGGGCCACATGTGGGACTCCTGCAGCCTTGTTCTAGAGCCATCGATGTCTTTGTCACTTTGTCCCAATCAGATCTGAATTCCAGAGAACAGGAGACCTGCCAGCCAGTACATGTGGTCAATGTGGACATTCAGGACAACCACGAGGAGGCCACCCTCGGGGCCTTCCTCATCTGCGAGCTCTGCCAGTGTGTGAGTACTGGGATGCCTGGATGGGACAGCCCGAGGTCACCCTCTTGTGCTGCAGAGGCTGACAGTTGCGTGCAGTGCTGTGCACACCTTTGGCTCAAGAACCGCCTGGCACTTGTGTTCATGTGATGGTGGTTGTGTGAGGATGGCCCTGTCTGTCCCCTGAGGTGGACCGGCAGCCCCAAGCACAGCCAGCAGGGCAGGTGGCAGCCCATGCCGAGGCAGAGTCAGACAGACATCTGCCCGGAGGGGCCTTGGCATCCTTCTGCATGTCCGTGGCACATGTCCTCTGCCCCTCGGACTTATCCAGAAGTGACCTAAGGCCCGGGCCTTCTCCACTTCCCCTTGGGCTGTGGCACCATGCCATGTTCTGTGCTGCGACCTTGGGATCTGTTGAGGTCAGCTGCCTGTGCGTGACAGTGGTGGGGACTGGCTTAGCAGGGGTCACAGATGAGTAGCGCGGGCTGGTGCTGGGTGGGACCCAGGCTCCCGCCCTACCAGCCCGGCTTTGGCTGCCTGCCAGCCTCCCAATCCAGTGTGGCTGCTGAAGCTTGGACAGTGGTGCTCGGGCCCCCTTGCTGAGCGGGCCAACGGCGGCCAGTGAGGCTGGGAACCGGGGTGGGGGGCAGGTGCGATCAGGAGCCGCCTCCCCTCTGCCCCAGGAGTTGCCCACCAGGGACCTCTGGCAGTGCGGCAGCGACTGTGGTTCTTAAGACCCAGGGGAGGCCCTGCCGCCGGGCCCTGCAGCGCCTTCCGCGAGGTGGAGAGAACTCGGCTCTGGCTCCTTCTGCGGGATTCTGGAGGCCGGGGCGAGCGAGCGGGAGGGCCTGTGTCTGCTGAAGGGCGCTCAGGGCGTGCTCTCCCCAGATCCAGCACACGGAGGACATGGAGAACGAGATCGACGAGCTGCTGCAGGAGTTCGAGGAGAAGAGCGGCCGGGCCTTCCTGCACACCGTGTGCTTCTACTGAGCCGCAGCCGGCCTTCCCGAAGGCTGCCCCTGCCCCGTGCAGGTTAGCCCCGGTGCCTGTCACCGCAGCACTGCACGTGGAGAACGAGAGGCAGACTGCCCGATCGTCCTCACCCACCCCAGCCACAGGAAGGCGGTTTGTGCACGTGCCCTGCGCGTGTGCCTGTGGCCGGCGCCCAGCCCCTCCGCCCCGGCTGCAGATTGTGTGCATACCTGAGCGACGGAGAGGACCTGGAATTGCCCAATAAACAAGATGCTGCTAGTGGTCTTGCTTTGTCCTCAATCCCCCCAGTGGGTGACGGCCGAGGCTGGGGGGAGCCCGCCCCGTATATGGAGACCCCGCTTCCAAGCAGCCGGGCTGAGATCCCTGGCCCTCGGTGTCAGGCCCCTCGCTGACCCTCGCGGTGTCCCGAGGTACCGGAGGCGGAAGAGCTTCCGGGGACGCTGAGGGCCAGCTTGGCGGGCCCCTGTGCTGGCTGCAGGGTCCTCCGTCCCCATGAGCGGCGGGGCCGGGCCGCCTGACCTCAGTCCCGCGGACGTTGGAGACAGCGCCTTCCACACGGTGGGCCGACTCCCGGCAGGCTCGGGCCTCTGCACCCCGACCCCAGCCCTGCGCCTGCCCTTGGCCGCCTCTGGCCAAGCCGCTGGGTGGACTGCCTGGTCGGTGGGCACGCATCCTGGTGGAAGGAGGGCCGCTGCCTGCGCACGCCTAGCCGGGAGGGGAGGAGGAGCGGGAGGACCCCGCCGGCGCGGGGCGGGGCGGTGGCGAGGCCCCTCCCGGAGGCGGAGGCTGGCGGCGCAGGGCGGGGGAGGAGGAAGACACCGAGGCCGAGCGGAGCCGGGTCGGAGCTGGATCCCGGCGCACGGAGGGCGGAGCAGCAGGACCAGCGGCAGCGACCCCGAGCGAGCGCCCGTGCCCGCCCCCGGCCGTTCCCCAGCCTGCTCCGGGCCGGGGCTGTGGCGTTGCGCGTGCTGACCTCCGCGGAGGCGGCCGGGGCTCAGCATCGGGCCGGGGCCGGGGGGGCGCCGGGGCCGGGGGGCGGCGCTCCGGCCCGGCCCGGCCCCGCCCGATGTCCATGAGCGCGAACACCATGATCTTCATGGTTCTGGGGGCGTCGATCGTGATGGTGAGCGGAGGGGCTTCCCGCGCGCGCCCCCTGTTTTCGCCGCCTGCGCGCGCGCGCCTCCCCCTCCGCCGGCGCCTTGTTTACCGCCCCGTGCGGCCTGCTTGGTCCTCCCGGGTCCCTCCGGGAGCCCGCGATCCCTGCCCGATCCTCATCCCTGCCCGCGCGGCCTGCTTGGTGCTCCCCTCCCCGGTGCCCCGCGCCCCCTCCCTGGCCCTCTCTGCCCCGGCCCTCTCCCCCTGACCGGTCATGGGCTCTTCTAGGCCATCGCGTGTTTGATGGACATGAACGCGCTGCTGGACCGCTTCCACAACTACATCCTCCCGCACCTGCGGGGCGAAGACCGCGTCTGCCACTGCAACTGTGGCCGGTGAGTGCGCCCCGGCGCTGGGCACGACACGCGTGATCACACATGAGCGGCGGGCTGCGCAGACCAGGCTACCCGGCGCCTGGGGCCCGGCGCTGGGGGAGGGGTGTCTCCTGGGACGGGAGGCCTGCCGAGTCAGGACGCCAAGACTTCAGAGAAGGGGCCCTGGCCCCAGCCTGGAGGCCTGAAGGCAGCAGCCCAGGCGGTCACCAGAAGGCCCAGCCCTGGTAGGGCCAGGCCTGGGGCAGCAGAGGCTGTGGGGCTCCTGTGCCACGGTCGGTGCTGTGGGCCCTGGCGGGCAGGTCCTGGTCACGGGCGTGGGCGGGCCCTACCTGGAGGGCACCGGGCAGACCCTAGAGTAGAGGAGGATCCCAGGCAGGAGTGGGGCTGGCTTGTTCAAGGTCACAGCACACCCCGCCACACCCACCGAGGATCTCCTGTCTCCCTGGCCATGCATGTCTGTACGTCCATGTACGAAATAAACATCTTCTCATGAGCCGCGCATGTGTGTACCGTCTGTGCAGAGACATGTGCGAACACACCCCACGCTCACAGGCATGCACTCAGCCCACAGAGGCCCTCGTGCAGCCTGAGGCCCGCTAGTGTGGCTCTGCCTTGGCCGTTGTCCCTGCTGGACGGGCGAGGAAGTGGACAGACGCGCCCAAGGTCACAGAGCGAGGCAGGGAGGCCCGAGCCCCAGAACGAGGCCCTCATCCCCACCCCGGCGCTGCGGCTTCAGGCTCTGTGCGCATGAAGGGACGCAGGTTTGCGGGCGTCAGGGCAGCTGCATGTCTCCTAGGTGTGTCACATGCCTGTGCTGCACATGTGTGTTCTAGAATGCAGGCGCTAGAGCGGTGAGGGTGTGTGCCCTCACATGCTGGGTGCAGCAGGCGTCCTCGGGGAAGCCACTCATCCCCAGCCCAGTGCAGTCTGTGCCCCGGCCCATAGCCTCAGTGCCCTCCCAGCAGGTGGGCACGCTCTGGGCCTACACTCAGCCCCCCGAATGTTAGGCACACACTTGACACGCGTGGGCTGCCCATGGTAGCACACTGAAGGGTCACCTGGGCAGAGTGTGTGTGCACAGGTGTGAGTACGCACTGAGCATGTGACCCGCATAGAAAAGCACCTGTGGAGTGGGGCTGAGCTGAGCTGCCTGTGTGTGCAGGGACGCAGAGAGCAGCACCTGCTCCAGGGCTCCTGCGTGTGTGTCTACATGTGTGTGCTTCGTGCACATTTCTCATATGGAGTTTCACCATACGGACTTGTATATTGGCAACATACATGTGTGTGCGAAGGGCGTGTGTAGGCCAGCAGCCAGCGCAGTGTGCAGGCAGTGGGAGTGTCGCCGTGCGGATGCCCCGCAGCATCACAGGTTTGCACGTGGGGTGTCTGTGAATGCACTGCGTGCACACATTGCCACAGCAGGCTACTCGTGCACCCACGTGTGCAGTGTGCACATGCGTGTGCCTTTTACATGCCTACACTTGGAGCTGTGTATGGAGGATTTGTTTGTAAACTGATGCTGAAGGACGCACGTCAGCTGGCAGCATCCATTCCATGCACACACATACATGCACATGACTCAACCTCAGCGAGGCTGGCTGTGCACAGGGCTGAGAATGTGCATCCATGTGTGACACAGGCCATGCTCGTGCTGGGAGCGTGTGCAGTGCATGGATGTGGGCCCTGGGCCCGTGTCCACTGTATACATGCTGTGTCCTGTGCATGTGGCTGGCGTGTATACACATGCATCAGGCCTCGGGTGGACACGTGTGGTATGTGCGCATAGGTAGGACACGTCTATGTCCCCACCAGACATGCGTGTGCACATAGCACATCCTACTTTTATCTGGAAGACCTGAGCCCCTAGCCAGCCCCAGGGGCCAGACATGGGTTAGGAGGAGGCCAGGGTCAGGGAGGAGTACTGCAGTGACCGGCCAGTGAGGTGTGCACAGGTCATGACCTTTGACCCAGACGACGAGAGGAGAACGGGTGGGGTGGCCTCGCCTTACAGCTGCCTGGGGCGGCTGCCTTGGGGTTGGACCTGGGGTCCCTGTGGTGGCCAGGGGTGTTGTGGGCGGTCCCGGCCCTGTTGGGAGTCCAGCTCAGCCAGCGCTGCGGCTCTTGGGACCACTGAGTCAGGAAGCCCTTCCTCTCCTGGGGCTGGTGCAGCCACAGCCGTGTGATAATCGAGTTTTCCATCAAGCGGGGTGGGAGTGCAGGCCCGTGAGGGGCCAGAGTATTGCAAGGTCAAGGCTGGCCTGAGCTACACAGCGAGTGCAAGGCCAGTCTGGACAGCACAGGGAGACCATCTCGGGGAACCCAACAACAGCAAACATATATTCTTTCTGTCATAACGATGGATGATCACTACTGATGAACTCACGACCAGGTAAGTAGCAGCTGCCAGGTGTCGGTCATAGTCTGTCCTCAGATCCTGGCCATGGCTGGCAGCCGAAGCCCCACGCGCCAAGCCTGCCATGCTATGCAGGGCCCTGGGAGGGCTGGAGTGCCAAGGCAGGGGCCCCTCTTCCCTGCCCTGCTGGCTTGGACTTGGGCTCAAGGACCCCAAGGTGTCCGTGTGGCCTGTGCTGGGCCCAGGACATCACCAAGGCAGCAGTGAGGGCCCACCTGGGACTTTCATTTTGGGCGCAGCCTCTCAGTGAGGGGCGTAGGTGCCACAGCTCCCCACACAGGGAAGAGGGAGAAGCAGCTTTGGGGAGCGGAGCTATTTTCAGCACGCATGAGAGGTGTCTGTGGATCCCACGTGCAGACGCAGGCAGCTGGAGCTTGGAGCAGGCGTGGGCACAGCAAGGAGGTGGCCAGAAGAGGGGCTGCCTGGCAGGAGAGCCCTACACGCCTTGCCCTGCTGGGGAGAGGACAGGATGGCTGGAGCATGGCCCGGGCACCCACAGCCGGCAGCACCCCTCCTGCCAGCCAGGCGTCCAGGTCTGCTGACATGTGGACCACTGCACCAGGGGCCACCCTCTCGGGGGAGATGCCTGGCCAGCTGTGGACATTGAGGGAGCTATGGGGCCACGGAAGGCCGACCAGGGCCTTGAATGTGCTGGTGGCCTGCACCTGGAGAGCCACCAGATGGGAGGCTGAGGCAGGCTGAGGCCCTGGGAGACCAGAGAGAGCCATGGTGGATGCCTGGACCAAGGAGAGGGCCCAGGACCTGCTCAACGTGGCCCTGGACCTCTGAGGCCTTGTCCATCCCAGGTGCAGCAAGGGCCAGGAGACACATGGTCTGTCAGCCCAGGGGGACGGGCCAGGGCCTCTGGCACAGCAGGGGCTCGGGGGCACAAAGTGAGGCCAGAGGCCCAGGCGGACGTGCTGCAGTGTGGACAGCTCAGTGGCAGGCGGGGGCCAGGCAGGGCTGGTGGCCTGGGCATTGGTGGGCACTGGCCCTGGGCCCAGGCTCCAGGCTCTCTCGCACAAGTGGAGCCCGCTCCTGAGCCCCGAGGTGCCCTGGGGACCTGTCCAGGGTGGGCAGAGAGGTGCCACCCACCCTGCCGCCCACAGGCACCACATCCACTATGTGATCCCGTACGACGGGGACCAGTCGGTGGTGGACGCGTCCGAGAACTACTTTGTGACGGACAATGTGACCAAGCAGGAGATAGACCTCATGCTGGGGCTGCTGCTGGGCTTCTGCATCAGCTGGTTCCTGGTGTGGATGGACGGCGTCCTGCACTGCGCCGTGCGTGCCTGGAGGGCCGGCCGGCGCTACGGTGAGTGCTCAGCTGCACCAGCCGCGGGGCGCCCCGCCCACCCGGCAGCTGACCACCCTGTCCCCCACAGATGGCTCGTGGACCTGGCTGCCCAAGCTGTGTAGCCTGCGAGAGCTGGGCCGGCGGCCGCACAGGCCCTTCGAGGAGGCCACGGGGAACATGGTGCACGTGAAGCAGAAACTCTACCACAACGGCCACCCCAGCCCACGGCACCTGTGAGCCGTGCACAGGACTCCCGGGGCCGCTGTGCGGATGAACAAGGGAGCTCGTGGACACCCAGCAGGCAGGACGGGACTGCGGCCTCGGGGCCAGGGTGTCCCAGACTGGGGCCAGCCGGGCTGTGGCTGCCGGGCATGTCCAGCAGAAGGTGCTGTCTCCTCTTCTTTTTATAAAGGGGTCGGGTGGGCGGGGTGGGACGGCTGCCAGCCTTGGCACAGGGGCCTGGCTCTCTCGCCCTGGAGGTGCTGGGCCACCGGTTGGGCCCTGGGGGGACAGGCCAGGGCAGGGCCGTGCCTGCCTGGGCCGCATCTGATTGAAGGCTGCCGTCAGCTTCCTGTGAAGTGGTGTCTGTCCATCTGTCCGTCCCTCAGGGTCTGGAGGGGAGGGAGGCGTGGGCCGCCGTCTGCGCTCAGGGGCAGGTGCACAGGGTGTGCACGGCTGTGGGGCCCGGAATCCCAGCACCGTGCTGAAGCCCACCCCGCCAGGCCAGTAGATTCTCCAGAAAGCTGCAGTCTCCGGCCCTTGAGTCACCTCTGACCCCAGGGCTGACAGGCTCGCACTCCACTTCTCGCATCAGTCCTGAGACGTGGGCAAGGGGTACGTCAAAGAGTTTTATTTGATTTTGGGTAAAAAGGCTCCGCTGCAGTCCCAGCCAGGCAGCAGGTCACTGCGCACGCGGCACCGCTGCCCCTGGGCCGGGCTCACTGGCACAACTGTGTGTGGGCCGGGCAGTGTCCAGCCAGGCCAGATGGGCAGTGGGGGCCCTTCACCCAGGTCAGACCGCAGACCAAGGCCACAGCACGCCACCACCACCCTGCCTGGGCTAGTGTCCCAGGCACAAGGAGGGCCTGCTCCTCCCAGCAGCACCCACAGAGGGAGGGTGGGGATGGGGAGCCCCACTGCGCCACTGCCCACTGCTGGCCTTGGGAATCCGCACAGCCCTGGCAGGAGGGGCTGCTGGTCAAGTGTCAGGGGGGCCTGGCACGGTCACTGTGGGTCCCTCCACCTTCAGCCACTGCATCTTCTGCTGGTGCTGCTGGACAGCATCCTGGACACGGGCATCCATCATGGCCTCGGTGAGGACCCCATCTTCAGAGGCATACGCCATGGCCTGGGGAGAGAGCCGCTCGATATGGGCTTGGTGCACAGCCCTGCCCTCCGCAGCTGACCCTCTACCCGCTGCAGAGCCAGGCAGCTCCTGGGGCAAGACAGGCACTGGGCCACACGAGTCCAAGCCACACACCGCAGGCTGCACCCAGCTGAGGGCTCAGGGTGGAGCCAGGGCTTCTGCCGCTCAGACCCAAGTCCCCCAAAGACAGGCTGCCCACCCAGGCCTCGGTGCTCCTTGGACAACACTCGGGGCCCAGCCAGCAGAGTCTGCATGGGCCAGGGGTTCCTGGGTGCAGAGGGGAGGCCAGAGCACCCACGGAAACCACACGGGCACCCTCTCGACAGAGCCTGTGAGGACCTTGGGCATCCCCTCTGGTGAGCAAGTCCCCGGGGAGAAGCAGGCCGAGTCCAAGGCCCAACTCCAATAGACCCGGGCCCTGGGGCCAGACAGCAGCTCAGGGAGGGCCAGGGCCTGGGGGAGGCAGGCGGCGACAGGAGAGAAGACAGGGGAGGCATGAGCAGCAGAGGGGCAGGGCAGGGTCCTTCCTGGGCGGCACCTGGGCCAGGCCAGCCAGAGGCGGCCCCAGCAGTGGCAGGACACCTGCTGTGTGTGACACCCAGACTGGGGGGCCCAGGGCACCTCCATGCCAGCCTTGCAACTCTTCTTTGAATCTAAAGTCATCAAAAAATTAAGGTTAGGGCCAGGGATTTAGCTCAGTGGCACCGCGCCTGCCTCACAAGGGCAAGGTCCTGGGTTCGATTACCAATACAAAAAAAAATTAAGTCAGGTATAGTAGAGCACACCTGTAGTCCCACCACTCAGGAGGCTGAGGCAGGAGGATCACTACAAGTGCAAGGCCAGCCTGGGCTACACAGCGAGTTCCTGTCTCAAAACAAAACAAATAAAAAGTTAAGTTTAGCCTAAGTCCCAACTACCCCAGAGGCTGCGGCAGGAGGATCACTTGTGCCCAGAGGTTCAAGGCCAGCCTGGGCACATAGTGAGACTGCCTCAAAAATAGATCAGTGAATAAACAAAGGAATAAACAGTGTTAAAGACGTGAAAAAGTTTAAAGGTGAGCCCAGAGCCTGATGCCTTACTTAGCTGGGGAATTTCACTGAGAATCAGTGCAACCCTCAAGCTCTTCCCAAGCACCAGAGGAAAGGGTACGTCCTAACTCATTCCCACCGAAGACTGAGAAAACCACAGACCAACAGCCCTCAGCCACGAGAGGTGGCCGAAGGGAAAGGACCGGGCCCACGTCGGGCGGGACCTGCAGGGCGCAGGGGAACCCTCAGTGCACGCTGCGTCCACGGGGAGCCCAGCATGCAGCAAAGGCTGCCGACGCCACACCAGGAACAGAGAATTTCCTCAGCGGCGGCAGAGCCTCATATCCCAAGCCCTGGCGAGCACATGCTCTCCAGTGAGACCACGGCCGGCGCCCCAGGTCTGCAGCCAGACAGGGACCCCACTCCGCCACTGCCCAGCATGGCGCCCAGCCCCGCCGAGAGCTCAGCAAGAGAGATCCAGGTCACCCGGATGAAGAAGGAAGGAGACAAGCACTGCTCTCAGACGACAGGATTCTGCGTGTACGGCCCCACTCCACACCCAAAAGATCCAGATGTTGAGCTGGGAGGCGCCGCACTTGCCCTGCAGCCTGTGTGGGCTCAACCCCCAGCACCACAAAGCAAGCAAGAGAGAGAGAAGTTCGTAGAGACCTGAGCTGGCGGCTCATGCCTGCACCTCAGCACTCGGGAGGCTGAAGCACAAGTTCGAGGCCAGCCTGAGCAACTTAGCAAGATCCAATCCAGCCCAGGACCAGGGATGTAGCTCAGAGGTTCCACCGCCTGCCTCGCAAGAGCAAGGTCCTGTGTTCGATCCCCGGTACCAAAAAAAAAAAAAAGGACCCAGCCTATCTCAACAGAATGAAATATAAAGGGATGGAGCTACAGCTCAGTGCTCTCCCAGTTTAGACCCCAGAACAGGGGGAAAAGACGCTTTGAGTAGGCATCTGTCCAGGGACGTGCAGCACTGGGCAGAGATGAGGCCTCACAGAGAGGGAGATGCAGGTCCAAGCAGCTGGAACCGCCTCACAGCCGTCAAGACTAAGGCTGTGACCAGAAAAGCAACGAGTAGGGTAGATGGCCCTGAGGGGAACCAGAACCTGTGCAGGCTGGGATTGGAAGCTGTATGGCTGCTGGAGAAGCGGCACGGTTCCCCAGCCCTGCAATCCCTCCCTGGTGCACACACCTGAAAACAGCTCCACTGGCACTGTCACGGGAGTGACGGGCTGCAGGCAGGGCGTGTGGCCCCGCCCAAGGTCAGAAGGGCCCTGCACGCCCATCCTGAGGGACCCAGAGGCAGGTCACAGGAGGACAGGGGAGGGGACAGTCCCAGCTGTGCCTGAGGCAGTGGCTGCATGACTGTGTATGTGCTAAATGGCACATAAAGACAGTCAAGGCGGCAAAGCTTAGGAAAGGCCAGTATGTCCCCTTAGGCGGCCCAAGGTGGGACAGAGCTCAGGAACAGGATCCACTGGGAGGGAGCTGCAGGCTGGGGCCGGGCCACACGGGCCACTGGGCGTCCGTCCCGCAAGTGGGTGGGGCAACCACCGCACCTGGCTGTGCGCTGCTGCAGCAGGAGAGCATCCCCAAGCTCCACACCCGCCGTAACCTCAGAGACGGGACCCAGCAGGGCCCTGCTGCCTCTGCGGTCCCAGCTCTCCCGCGTGCATGCACTCAGACTGGTGACTGGCCTGTGGAGAGGGCTAGCTGAACGGCAGGAGCCTTCCTGACCCTTAACCGTGAAAGCCCTGGCACCCCAGAGGTTGCTGTGGACAGGCAGCAGCGACACTGAGATGGTGAGGTTCACTCCCTCCACCCACCCTGAGGCCTGGCAAAGAGGACCCTGCCAGCCGGGCATGGGCCTGGGCACAACTGCCAGCACCAGGAGAACATGGACTGGTCATTGAAGCTGTTACTTGGCCAAACTTCCTGCTCCCGTGCTTCGCTGCCAGTTGCAGAGACAGAGCAGAGTCCTCGGAAGGCCCCAAGGATGCGGTTTGACAGCAACAAACCCAGCCCCTGCACCCTGCTCATGTTTCCGGTCTACGCTGTTCAAACCCGAGTAGACACAGCCAGTTAATAACCCACTCTCACACTGAACAGCGAGGTTGGGCCTCTGTGGCCAGGCCATGGCAGGACCTCAGGGTGTGGCTGCAGACCCCACCTGATGAAACAAAACTCGCTGGAGCACCTAGCCCTCCTGCAGGCCGGCTTCCCTGACCCGGGACGCCCGGGAAGAAGAGCAGGGCTCGGGACAAACTGGCCTTGTGCCTTACCCACTGGGGATGAGGGAGCCTTGCCTGCCCCGGGGTGTGGCCTCCCGGGACTCCGCTCTGTGGCGAGCGTGTCCCACATGGTGGAGGGCCCCGGGCCCTGGGGGAGCCCCGCACATCTGCCCTGAGCCTGGCACGCGGGGCTGCGCCTGCACTGGCGGCCACCAGGACCCTCACAGCCCGTGCGATGGCCCAGACTCACCTGCCATGCCACGGCCAGCTGGGCGATCTCCCGGCCCGACAGGCCCTCCGTCAGCTGGGCCACCTCCGAGCACTTCTTCCCGTAGTCAAACTCAGCCAGCTTCAGACGCCTGCCGGGAGAATGCGAGTGTTGCCCAGCCGGAAGGCAGGCCGGCCAAGCTGTGCTGGGAGCCCAGCCTGCCATCCTGAATACCGCCTGCAGCCTCGCCCTGCGCCTGGAGCCCCTCACCTCGCCCCACGCGCATGCCCGGCAGCCCGGTTAACGGCTCAGCCCGAGATGCAGGGCCAACTACTTGGGCGAGATCTCCAGGTAAGAAAAAGAGGCGACCAAGGGTCCCAGGTCCCTAGTCTCTAGCAGTGATGCGGACAAAGGCCACTCGACTCAGGAAGAGAAGTGCACCCTGGACAGGGCAGAGCAGCCATGGCCTTTTCCGAACAAAGAGGGTAACAGGACCTGGGCTGGTGACACGCATCTGTCATTGTAGCACTCTGGGAGGCTCAGACAGGAGGATCACAAGTTGGAACCCAGCCTGGCCAACTTAGTGACTTAGTGAGACCCTGACTCAAAATATAAAATTACAAGAGAGGCTCTGCAGGGCCGGGGATTTAGCTCAGTGGTTCCGCCACCTGCCTCGCAAGTGCAAGGTCCTGACTTCGACCCAAGTAACAAACAAACAAACAAGTAAGTAAATAAATAAAGAGAGCTGGAAATATATCTCAGTGCAAAGGCCCTGGGTTCTGTGCCTAGTACTGGGAGAGAGAGAGGCACCAGGAGGGAGTAGGTCAGGACACAGGAGAGCATGGAGCTGGGCCTGAAAATGGTGACGAATTGGACCCGGGCTCTGCCCATCATCCTGCAGGGGCCAGGGCCCCCGCAGCTCCTGGGCAGTAGCGTGCCTGCAGTGGGCAGCAGTGGACAGTGGGGTCGGCCATCACCCCTAGAAGCTGGCACCAGGGCCTGGCGTAACGGCCAGGTCAGAACTTGTGGTGGGCAGGTGGACAGGGCAGCAGCTGTCCTCGGGGGCCTGTGACAGCTGGGTGGGGGACAGGCAAAGGTGCGAGCGGGTCGGGGCCCAAGACAGCGTGACACGGGGTGGCAGCGGGGCGCCAGGCCCCGACACTTACTGCTTCCCTCCCGTGGCTGGCTCAAGGACATGCTTGTCGAAATACATCCTCACCAGGCGCTCGCGCTCCTCGCGCAGCGGCAGGCCGAAGCAGACCATCTCATCGATGCGGTCGTTGATGGCCCAGTCGAACTGCTCGGGCTGGTTGCTGGCCAGCACCAGCATGAACCTGCGCAACAGGCGCCACTGCAGGATGCCCCTCCACGGCCCCCAGGGACACTTTCTAAAACAGCCCTCCCTCTGCCTTCTCCTGTGGGGCTGGGGACACAATGTGGGGCTCTACACGCTAGGCAAGTGCCAGGCCACTGACCACACCCACCCATGCCCGAGCCCGAAGGCTCAAGACAGGGTTTCACATCCCACAGCTACCTTCCAACTCGGCTACCTTCCAACTCGCAGTCCTCCTGCCTCAGCCTCCCAAGTGCTGGGATTACAGCCGTGCACCACCACGCCCGGCTATGTTGGCAGCATTTAGCCTAGAAAACTGCAGGAGATCTCAGCACCTACTGCAGGTCCCTGTGTACGTCCCAGGCTCAACACGATGCAATGGCCCAAGTTCTGCTCTTGCCCAAGCTCACTCACCCACTGAGCAGGGCCCAGCCAGACCTGGTGTCCGGGGCAGATGGCCGCCACCCAGGCCCTGGCATGAATGGCAGTGGCAGTGTGGCTTGCAGAGCCACACCCTGCAGTGTGGGAAGGCCGGGCAGGCCCTGCCCTGGGGATGCGTGGCCCAGGGACAGGACTGGGGCGTTGGGGCGTGGGCTCTGGGGCAGCCCCAGGGGTGCCTGGCAGCGGCGGGTGCCCTCACTTGCTGCTGTGCTGGCCCGTTCTGTGCAGGAAGGCGTTCAGGGTCGCCCTGAGGTCTTCGCTGATCTTCTCCTGCCGGGAGAAGGCCCACATCAACCTCCCGCAGGAGCAGCAGGGTCAGGAACCACACAGACTCAAGGCCAAAGGGAGCTTCGAGCTGGCTCAGCCCCACAGGTGTGCAGGTACCAGGAAGCCCCCAGGTCAGCAACAAAACCCAAAGCTAGGGGCAGGGATTTAACTCAGTGCTTCTGCTGCCTGCCTTGCAAGTGCAAAGACCTGAATTCGATCCCAAGTACCAAAAAAACAAAAACAAAAAAAGAGGCCCACAGCTAGAGAGAGCTAAGCAGCAGCCTCCACATCTCGGATACTCACAGTCGCCCGCTTCCTTAGGAAGGCGTCTGCTTCATCCACGAAGAGCAGGAGGCTGTGAATGAGGGGCAGCGAGGCACACTGAGCACCACCCCGGGTCCTGGAGCTGCCCAGGCTGGTGCCTGGTGAGAAGCCCCACAGGTGCGGAGAGAGCAGCAACCCTGCCTCCAGGGCCCAGGCCGGCTCTGCCCTCAGCCGCCCTAAGGGAGAGTCAGCAGGGCTCAGGGGCCCCTGGCAGAGGACATGGTAAGGGGTCATCCAAGAATGTGGCAAAGTGAGGGATGGCTGGGCGCATGTGGGGACACCCTGCCTAGGGGCCCCAACTCCCCAGCCAAGTTCAGCTCAGTTCTGAAGCTGTGCACACACGAGCGTGCACACGGGGAGGAGCAGCCCGCTGGGCCCAGCCCCCCACCCCCCACTGCAGACTGGTGGGGGCAGGGGCTGCGTGCTGGGGGGGGTGGGGCTCACCCTCGCCTGCTGCTGTTGGCCCAGTCGAAGACCTTGTGCATGGCGGTCACTCCCTCCCGCCCCATGGGCGCCACGTCCCCGCCAGTCATGATGGCGTAGTCCATGCCAGAGTGCAGCGCCAGTTTCTAGGTGGGGCAGCAATGTCTCCATTGACGCTGCACAGCCCTTGTGCTGCACAGAGCCCATTACCCCACTGCACCTCATCCCGGCACTGCCCGGCCCTCACCTTGGCGAACAGCGTTTTGCCGGTTCCGGGAGGTCCGTACATCAGAAGGTTCCGGTACAGACTCCTGTTCTTCTTGGTGTTCCTTGTCGCTATGGCGATGTCCCGCACCCGCGCCTCCAGGCTGGGCTGCCAGGGCAGGCACAGTTGAGGACACCCACGTGTACCCTAAGAGCAGCTCACTCCCTGCTAGCCTGGACTGGGTTTCAGGCACCAAAAGCCACCAACCAAGGGCTGGGAGCCCCAGCACCTGGGCTCTGCCATCCACCCTGGCCCCAGGTGTCCCCAGACTCACACTGAGAATGACTCCTTCCAGTGCATCCTGGGGCCTGCTGAGCAGCCGCCTGCTGACCTGAGGGGTACCAGCGGGTTCAGCTGGGCACAGGAGCAAGGAACCTGCTGTCTCCCACCCAGGACACGGGCCCACTGGGAGATGGGTGTCTGTGTGGACAACAGGCCATCAGGGCAGCAAGGCAGCTGGGAGCGAGCCACCGCCAACAGGACAAGGGTACAGGCGGCCTCAGGTAGACAGGAAAGGAAGACACAAGCGCTCCCTCCCCATGTGGCGGGAAGGCTGAGGACGAAGTCTGCCCAGGTACCTGCACAGGGTGCCTCAGCGCCTCCAGCACCGAGATGCGAGAAGTCTCCCGCACCAGCGACGGGGTCCCTAGCCGGGCCTCAATGTACCGGCCAGCAACGGCAGTGGCGTTCTTGGCAGAGTAGACCCCGACGGCCAACAGCGTCAGCCCTGCCACCTGGCCAGACAGAGGCGACGGCTGGTGAGCTACCACATTCACCCAGCCGGGGGCAGCCTGCACATTTCTGCTTTCCTGCAATGGCGGTTGGGGAGCACACTGCAACTCCCAGCAGGAACCCTACAGCTGGATATCCCACAGGCCACACCTGCTCCCCGCTCTCCTCTCCCAAGAAATTAATTCATCCCTGCAAAGAAAGGCTGGCTCCCCAGCACTAAGTTTTTTTTTTGGTACCAGGGGTCCTTGCGCTTATGCAGCAGGCGGCAAAACCACTAAGCTAAATCCCCGGCCCAGCACTAATTCCTTTCCACAGCTGCTCAGTCGGTGCACCGAGCATTCCCTCACCTTATGGGAGGAAGGAAGCACCTACAGGGCTGGAGGTGCCACGCAGTGCACAGCTCCAACCTGGTAAAGGCCAGTGTTCAACCCACACCACAATTAATAACAACAGTAATAATGAGGAAGAGGAGAGGAAGAAAAAGATACAGCCGGCATGGTGGGGCACGGGGGCACGCCTGTAATCCCAGCACTCGGGAGGCTGAGGCAGGAGGATTACTTTGAGTTCAAGGCTGGCCCAGACTACATAATGAGCATAATGAGTTTGAGACCAGCTTGAACTACATAGCAAGACCCTCTCTCAAAAGAAGAAAAAAACACCCCATCTCCAAAAAAGAGAAGGGCTGGGGATATAGCTCAGTATTTCAGTACCCAGTATCAAAAAGTAAAACTGAAAAAAAAGTGGGGAAAGGAAGGGCATCTCGGTGCTGGCAGCAGCCATGCTGTGAGGACGTGGTCACGTTCATGAGGCTGCTGGCCTCTCACTGCCCAGCGGGTATGGACGACAGCCATGAGCGATGTGGCCACCCCTCCTGGAGTCCCCACCAGGCCGCTCCTGTCCCGAGACAGCGGGCCTGCCACGATGAAGCCAGGGCAGAAGGTCCTCGCCAGCCCTCCCGGGATGCTGATGTGCACTCCCCTCCCAGTCTGTCTTCTGGCCGCCTGAACACGGGCCACTGAGGCAGCTCAGGCCCCGACAGGTCGTGGCTCGCCCCCAGAGCCCCAGCAGAGGCAGGGCCCAGGTGGCTCCCGGGATCTGGGATGGCACTCGGGCTCTTGTTCACACAGCCTGTGGTGCAGAGCCCTGGTCCCACAAGGGAGCACGGGGCACACGGAGGCCCTGTTCGAGGGCCCTGCCGCACATGCTCTGCTCCCTCTGTGCGGTGACACAGCCAAGACACAGTGACGGCCACCTGGACCTCCGGCACCAGTGTCAGGAGTAAACAAACCTCTTCACTTTAGAAGTCACAGTCACACAGCATGGGCTCCAACGCAGGACTGGCCCAGGCACCCAGGCACCCGAGCGCCTGAGTCGGCCAGTGCGGGGCAGGGACACAGGAGGGGGCAGGGCAGCATGCGGGCCCCTCACCGGGCCAGCAGAGCACAGGGTGGAGGCGCAGCCAGGAGGCCCCCAGGCCGTGCTCGGGACAGGGTGCATACCGTGGCTGTCACTTTGTCCCAGTCGGTCACAAAGGCACGGAATCCTTCACCAAACAGGGTGCCAGCGGTCCTGCAGGGAAAGAAGCCACGCGACTGAGGCACCAGGGACCCGCGCACACACTGGAGGGGCGCCCAAGGGCCGGCACACGTAGGAAGGAGCTGCTGAGACAGGCAGCGGCCCCAGTGCTGCCCAGAGCTGTCGTCGCAGCCAGCCAGGGCAGCCAGCAGCCAGCACCGGGCCCTCGGGCTGAGTGACAGGCGCCTCACCTGATGGACTCCAGGATGGTCTGGCGGTGCTCCGCGGCCTTCAGGCGGATCTGCTCACGGATGATGTCTGCATTCTCCCTCTCTGCCTTGGCCCGGGCCCGCGCCTCCGCCTCCACACGCAGCATCTCATTCCTGTGCCGCAGTTCCATCTCCCGCTCCACAGTGGCTGCCCAGAGGAGGCAGGGACAGAGCTCGGTCAGCCCACCAGCCTGTCCATGCTGCAGTCACATGCACGCAGACCGAGGGCTGCACAGGTCTGTGGAGAGGACCCAGGAACCGGCCCTGGGCCTGGACAGCCCTTCTCAGGATCACGGTTTGGGGCTGCTGGGGATGAACCCCGGGCCTTGTGCATGCCCAGCAAGGGTTCTACCCACCCTCGAACCACACCTCCAGCCTGCCAGCCCTTCAGGATAACGTTTAAAGAATCAAAAAATATAGAAAATTGCAAAAGAAACCCACTTACATTGAAATAGAGAAAAGCCACGGACACACTGACGGGCTGAAGCCCTATTACCACTAACTGCAAACACCAAAGGATAAACCCCTGCCACCACAAAGTGCAACTAACACCGCCACAAACGCAGGGCTCCAGGAGCTCTCATCCTGTCCAGGGGACTGAGCACACGTGGCGCTGACAGCGGTAGTCTGTAACTGAGTCTAGGCAGGGTGTAAATGCCCCTTGCGCAGGACTGGGGCTGCAGAGGGAGCACTGGTGAGAGCGGCCCCCAGCCTTGGCGCCTGAGGTCCCCCCCAGCCCTATCCGGCCAGGGGCCCCACTGGCCCAAGCCTACCTTGCCGCATGGCCTCCTGCTTCTGCACAGACTCCTCCTGCTTCCGTAAATTCTCCTCATTGAGAAGTTGCTGCGAAGCCACAGAGAAAGGGAAAACTAAAATCAGAAAATCAACACCACGCAAAAGGGTCACAGCTGCCCTCCGCTGGGGAATCTACTCCCCTGAGGGACCCCAACTTTCTTGGGGACCCAAAGGGCCTGCCACCTCCACTCTGATGCAGGTGTCCGACTCCTGCCCAGTACCGGCTCAGGACCCACCCGAGTAGATGCAGCTCCACAGCAGCATCACCGTGTGGCCGGCGCAGGGACCTGCAAGCGCCACTGCCCAGCCCTTCAGCTGAGTTTAGCGGCTCCATCTGGAACCCCATGGACTCAGGACTGAGGCTGGGCCTAACAGCGGGGGCACCCAGCCTTGGGACTGGGCTGCCTCAGTAGCCACTGCCCTTGCTGGTCAACCAGGTGCCTGGGCAGTTGTCAGCGCTGAGAACTGTCAGAAGGGCTGAAGGCAGTGCATGCCTCAGAACATGCCGGGTGGCCCTCTGTCCACGGCTTCCTGGGACAGCAGCAAAGAGACCCATGGGTCCGCCCAGGCCCAGGCCCACAGCCCCCCTCACCTGCTGCTTCAGCTGGTCATCGTAGCGCTGCCGGGACAGTTTGTCCTGGTACTGGGCCCTCTAGGGAAGACAAGAGCAGTGGTGATCCCAGCCGGAGCAGCCTCTGGATGGTCAGAAGCCAAGTCCAGACCCCCTCAATGGGGCGCCCCCCCCAGGATCTGCTGGGGGCTCTGGGCACTATCTAAACCCAATCCCTGGGAGATCCTGCTCAGCAACAAAGGTTCAGCCCCCAGCCCCACACTCGGCCACCTGCACCCGTACCGCCTGGTGCTGCCGCGTCTCCTCGCTCAGGGTCTTCCTCCTCTCCTCAGCCTGCACTCGGATCTGCTCGCTCTTCAGCTGCTCCACGGCAGCCTCGTACTCCTGTGGAACACGCCACTCTGTTGCTGAGGCTCCCTCCACCCACATCCCCACGGCCCATCCAGGCTTCGAAGCAGGCCCAGGCAGGGTGGAGGCATTTCTGGAAATCAGCCTGGACCAACCCCACACCAAGCTGGGCCAAACCAAGGCTCACACTGAAAGGACCCGACTCCAGGTAGAGGCAGAAGCAAAAGCAGGACCACACAGGACAGACTGTGCCAAGGGGCAGTGGCCACTGCCAAGGGCAGAGGGCACGACCTGCTCTGGCTTGGAGAGTCAGACTGGCACAGAAAAGCGAGGTAGGAACCCAAGAAAGATCCCCACCCTAGGAAGACCAGAGCCCTCCACCATCACCCAGCCCACCGGGAGCTCTGCTCTGCTGCAGGAGGCCCCATATCCAGTGCCAGTCTGTTGCGAATGTGGCACCCGGGCTTGGCCACTGTCCTGTGCATCCCCCTGTGGCTCACCTTGAGCTTGGACTGTTGCTCCAGCTGCAGCGTCTGCTCCTGCATCTGTGCCAGACTCAGTGCCTCTTTGGCGTGTCCTGCGGGGCACAGGAGAGAGGGTGTCAGGACACCAGGTCTCCCCAGGGCGGCAAGCAGCTACCCGCTCTGCTCAGGGATTTCCTCAGGGCTTTCGGAGAAACCAGCCTCAGCTCCACCTCAGAGCAGCCCGACACTGCCCCAGCCCCACCAGATTCCTGTGAATGAATGCCCCACCCCCAACAGAGACCCCAGCTGGGGCGTGGTCTCACCCCAGGGGCCATCCCATTGTGGGGAGGGGCCTTGGGAGGCCCCCATACCCAGCAGCACAGAGCAGGGTCGCAATGGTGTTTCCCAACTAGACACCAAGTGGGGCTTTGGCTGGAGGGACTTCATCGTTCATGTTAACACACATTTTTCTTCAGCTCCCACATCCATCATCACTGGTCTGCTATCAAGCACAAGCAGGCAGCAAAAGGGATGGATGATATTTAAAGAAAGCCAGCACCATAGCAGACGCCTGCAATCCCAGCTACTCAGGAGGCTGAGGCAGGACAACCATAAAGTTCAAGGCCAGCCTGGTCAACTTAGAAGACCCAAAAACGGGCTGGGAACGAATCTAAGTCATACAGCATGTATGAGGCTGTGGGTTCGGTCCCCAGTACTGCAAAAAATAAATAAAGGAGAGAGTTAAGTGCAAATTAAACCAGACATAAGCCAGTGCACCTGGGATTATAAATACACACACATTACGAACATGTTCTGTGTTCTTCCACAGTGCAGAACTGATACCTGTCAGCATGCAGATGCCTGAAGCAAAACCTGACTCCAACACTCTCCTAGCTGAAGAGGCCTCAGCTTCAGGTCTCAAACTGTTCTAGCAACAACTTTCCATTCCTAGTATTATATCACAAAAACCTTCCAGTGCACAAAAACATGGGAAGGGTGGCATCACCCAGGAGCCCAGCCCTGACGTCACAATGTCCCTGCCTCACTCTTGTCCCCACCACTGGCTTTGCTTTCTGAAGGCCTCAGGGTCAGAAGGAACCACAGCGACTTGCTGTGGACTGGAGCTGACAACGCAAGTTAGGGCTCCATATGCACTCAGAAGGCAAAGCCATCAACAACAAGGCTGCCACACTCACCACACAGACCTTCAGAGCCCCCAGGGAGGGGTGGAGGGGCAATAGCTCCCAGGCTGTTTTAGACAGGATCAAGGGTGTCACAGTCCAACAAAGCTGGGGCCAAATCCCAGCTGCCCTGTGTACTTTCTTTTTTTTTTTTTGAGACAGGGTCTGGATACCCAGTTCAGGCTGGCCTTTAACTCATTATGTAATCCAGGCTGGTCTCAAACTCCTAGCAATCCTCCTGCCTTACCCTCCCAAGAGCAAGGATTACAGGTGTGCACCACCAAGCCTGGCTTTTTTTTTTGGCCCTGTGTACTTTTAATGTGACCTTTGGCAGGCTGTTAACTTCAAGGCCTCTTCCTCCCTGAGACTGCGATACTTAGTTTTCCTGGGAGACTGAAATCACAGAAAGCAGGTAATCTTCAGTCCAAGCCTGGTGCCCATATGCCCTCCCAGAGTCGAAAGCTGTGATCTAGCTGACCACTGATAACTCACCCCTGAGACCATCCCAGCCCAGGAGCTGGGCACTCACTACTGGGACAGCACTCTCACAGACCCAGGGTGCTGCTCTAGCTTCTCAGGAGGGGTCCACAAAAGGGTCTGGAAGACCCTGGGAACAAAGCAGCACCAGGCTGGCAGAGAAGGTGGTCAGACTGTGAGGAGGGCTGCTGAGGACAGGTTCCACTGTCTTGGAAAAGGGAACGGGGGTCCAACAACACACTGACCAAACTGTAGCTGCTGCAAGGATATGTCTGGGCATGGAGGAGCCTCTGGAAACAGAAGCATCCCGAGAGGACAAGGTTGCAGAGGGGCTGTCAGGCAGACAGGCATGAGTCAGCCTGGGAAGGTTTGAGATAGGAAGACCAGGAGAAACCCCAACGATCGGGAAGCTAGGGAGGGGGGCAGGAATAAAAGTGGAGAGGGTCTCAAACTTGTGGCAATCCTCCTGCCTCCGCTTTGCTGGGATCACAGGTGTGCACCACCACATTCGGCTGGGCAAGGTCAAAGGGCAAAAACCTAGAGAAAGTGAAGAAAAGTGTCGTGCAACAGGATCTTAGTCCACAGCTCTGCTGTTATCTGAGTTGCCTGAAGCCCACCCACTGTTTCCCATTCTAATCTAATCATTAAAATTGTCTATTGGTCAGGCGTGGCAGTGCACACCTGTAATCCTAAAAGGACTGCAAATTCAAGCCCAGCCAGGGTAACTTGGACCATGTCTCAAAATAAGAAATAAAAAATGGGCTAGGGATACATCATAGTGCAAAGGCCCTGGGCTCAGTCCCAGCACCTCCGCCGTAAACATAGCCCAGCCTCAAAAGACATGTAACCCGGATGTGATGATGCCCACCTATAATCCATATACTTGGGAGTCTGGGGCAGTGTAGAAGGTTTGAAGCCAGCCTGGACTATGTAGCAAGTCCTGTTTTAAAAAATTAATTATTTGCCTGGCATGGTGGCACGCTCTGTAATCTCAGCACTCGGAAGACTGAGGCTGAAGGAGCGCATTGAGTCGGAGGCCAGCCTGGGGTACATAGTGAGTCCAAAGCCAGCCTCAGGATGTAAGTGAGACCCTGTGTTTTGGAGGTGGAGACATGTAGTCCCTGAATGTCCCTCGGGGGATCTGAGAGCCAGCCAGCTGCAGACTATTACTATTACCCAAGATGTTCTTACAGCCTCCGGAGTAAGGACAGAGGACTGAGATACCAAGCACCAGGTCCTGTCCTTCCCTGCTTCACACCAAGGTTTCCTTAAGGGGATCTTCCTTTGAAAGAGAGCTCCTGTCTAAACAAAAGTTCAAGATACACTGTATTGTTTCAATCAGTATTAACTAAGTACATTCTACACTCCAGACTCTTAAGCACTTAAAACTACAGTATATCTTGATACTCACAGGAAAAAGGAAGGCTGGGGAAGAGACCTGGGCTTAGTCACAGTCCACGCACTGCTGACACCTGGTACTGACCCCTGGGTCAGGGCAGTCATCAGCCTAGCCCAGCACCATCCAGCCCGTGGCTTTACAGATGCGCCCCACCCACCCACCCACCCACCTAAAGGCTACTGTTTTCCGGTAGTAAACGTAAACCCTACTATATTCTCGTTAAAACCAAATGACTCAAATACGCCTCCACTGCTCAACGTAAATTTGCTACCAGCAACCACACACAGGGATCTCCCGACTCGGCCATGCCTTGGCCTGCCCCACGTGGACGCGGCAGGAGCAGGTGACCCCTAGGTTTGGCAGTAACTGAAGACCCGGCCCGGCGTGGTACCGGAGCCCGCACCTCCGAAACGCCCTCTGCACCGGCCTCATCTGCTGCGCTCGCGACAGCTAAAAAATGCAAGAAGGTGACCCGACCTGAACCCCCAGCACGCAAGATGGCCCTGGCCTGTCGACTCCCCGGCCAATCTGTCACCTGCAGAGCAGGGCTGCCGACCGCCACTCAGTCCCTCGACCCGCGGAGGCGCTCCAACCCACCCCGCCACACTCACGCGAGTGCTCCAGCTCGCGCGCCGCCTTGGCCGCGCGTTCCAGGCCTGTCGGGTCAAAGTTGCTCCATTTGTCCTTGGGCGCCGGCCGGTCTCCCGCGCCGCGGTCGCCGCCTCCCTCAGCCCCAGGTGGCATGGGCGGCAAGGCCAAGGGGGGGCCCGTGCCTTCGCCCTTGGGGCCTTTGTTGATACCAAAGAGCCAAGACATAGCCCGTGAGCCCCGCGCGCCACGGAAGCCCACTCCAGGAAACTCGTGCTGTTTGGAGCAGCAGCCACGCGCGGCGAACCGTCGACCAGGGCCACTGCGCAGACGCGACACACACCCCCTTCCTTCCGGGCAACGGAAGCGCGTGAGGGCCACGCCGCGTGAAGCTCTGGGATTGGCCCCGAGGACAGTGACGCCATCAGCGTCTTTGGGGCGTCTGCCGAGCGGGCCCTACGGAAAGGCGGGTGCCCGGTTACCGGGGCCAACCAGGGGCAAAATTATTCCTGCGCCCTGGGCAACGTCGATTTCGCTTAGCAATGGCGTTGCGTCCGGTTGCTATGCGTGCCAGTGCAGCTCGCGGAGCTGTAGTAGCCTAGGGGCTCTAGGCTTCGGGACGCCGCCCCGGTGAGTTCTGGACCAGAAAGGAGGAGGCCGGTTTGGGGCTGACCTCACCTACACTGGTCTGGGCGCGAGTACCCCGGGTGGAGAGTAGGACCCTGACCCCGCGAGATGGGCGCCGTGGGACCTCCTGCCGGCCCCACCGTGACCCCGCGGCCCGCAGAACTAAGCGCGGTATGGACCCAAGAGCCGTACTGCGCTGGCGGCGAGTGGGAAGCAGCGGGTCCCAGGCCAAGCATCTGAACGCCAGTCGGATGGAGGGCGGGCCTGAAAACCAGCCCCCCACAACACGTGCCGCATAGGGGTCACCGGAACGCAGAGGCTCTTGGCTGAGCGGGCCTTTGCATTACAAGCCCAGAATATGGAAAAGGGGAGCAATCTCCTAAAGCCTTCGCGAGGATCCTTCTCTTTTTTTGTACCGGGGATCGAACTCAGGACCTTGCGCTTGCGAGGCAGGCGCGGTGCCACTGAGCTAAATCCCCAGCCCTAGGAGCCTTTTCTTTGCGAACCTACGAGGCCACGAGCCTGCTTCGGGGACATAGGCAGGCTGGACCCGCAGGAGGCAGCCAGACCAGGCGGATGGCAGGCAGGCGCCACATGGGAACCCAGAGTCCAAATCGGCAAAGGCTGCGTCTCAGTCCCAGGCTTTCTTTTTTTTTCTTTTTGGTACTGGGAATCGAACTCTGCTGGGCAGGCAGCAGAACCACTGAGCTAAATCCCCAGCCCCGGCCCAGGCTCTCTTGACGGAATTGGTTGAGTTCTTGGAATTATATGGAATGACTTTTCCCATAGATTTAAACCCTCTTTGTTTTTTGTACTGGGGATTGGACCCGGGGCCTGGCGCCTGCTGGGGAAGTGCTTCACCACTGAGCCACATCCTCTGCCCTTTTTAAACTTTTGAGACAAGTTCTCACTAAATTGCCCACTCTGGCCTTGGCAGTCCTCCTCCCTCAGCCCCTCGAGTAGCTGGGATAACAGGCCCACATCACTATGCCAGCTATTGAAAACAATTTTTAGCCTGAATAAAAATAGGAAAAGGGCCAGGGCTTTAGCTCAGTGGTGCCACTGCTTGCCTCGAAAGCTCAAGGTCCGGAGTTCGATCCTCAGTAGCAAAAAGAAAGAAAAGCCGAGCATGGTGGTGCACACCTGTAATCACAGCACTTTGGGGCCTGAGGCAGGAGAATCACCAAAAGTTCAAGGACAGCCTGGACTACATAGCAAGACCCTGTCTCAAAAGAAAAAAATAGGAAAAAGTTTAAAATTGTGAGATAATTCAGTTTGTGACACACACACAGACACAGCTACTAAGAGAAAAACCAAGTGAATTTTTCAACAATAGCCAGAAGCCCCTAGTGGCCATCATCAAGGACTTTTATGAACTTCCTGCAAACAGCACCCAAAAGGGTGAAGGGCCGGATGGGTAAGAGTCCCCAGGTCCCTGTCCACACAGCTTAGCCTCATACTCCTTAGCTTTACCCACTTGGCAAACTGTCTTTTATAAAGCTCTGCATTTTAAAAGTTTCACTTAACTTGCCTTAACTTGAGAACAACTGCTGATTGCTATTTTAAGATTTTGGTAATTGCAAAAGGAACAGAGGCAACTCTGGGCAGGGAGTTGCACAGCTCTGATGGAGTTTGATACTTAAAGTCTTTGACCATTGGAAGGACAGACACCTTTCCTCAAGACACTAAGGTAAGGATAGGGAACCAGGACAGGCCTTCTGCCCAAAGCACATTCATCCAATGGACAAATGTGAGGTTCTCTGCTGCTGGGGCTCTGCTGTTGGCTGTTGGACCCCCTCAAACACACATTGGGGATCCTCCAGCATTGAAGACCTGAAGGAAAGACTGCAGAGGTTACAGATGGCCTGAGCCCAGACGGGGGTTCCACAGCTGCCCTGGAGCCCAGGCCAGCAGGACCAGATGACCTAGCAGTGCATGCAGCCAGCCTGGTCTGTGTGTCCTTCCAGTGTGGCATGTGATCCCTAGCCCCAGGCTTCCTAGCACCTGGCTGGAGCCTGTCTTGCCTGCTGTCTTCCCTAGACAGTGCCTGTGCAGCAGCTTGTCCCCTTAGACCTGGAGCCCCTCGTGGGATCAGCATGAGGTCGCTGCTGCCCCTGACATCACCCTGCAGGCCCATCCTCCTGGAGCAGCCCAGTCTTGGGGAGTGAGGGGCTGGTCCATCCTGCTGTGCTGGCTAGGCATTCTCTCTCTCCCTTTTCCTCCTGACTTGCTTGGCCCAGTCTTGCCCGTAGTCACCACCACCCATCTGCAGGCTCCCTCCATGCCTGCTAGCAGGTCCACAGCTCCTGTGCCCCCTGGCCAGACCCCAGCTCCTCAAAAGAAAGATGCCCAGCCAGACCCTGAGCCCCCTGGGCTGGGACCTTGTGCTACTGGTCCCTACCCTACTTACCAGAGGGCACCCAGCTCTTGTAAGGCTCCTGTGACCTGCAGCCCCTACCGGATCCCCCAAAGGGCAGTGGCTCAGGAGAGCCATGGTGCCTGCTGGGCTCAGGACTGTAGTGACCTAGAACTGAGCCCCAATCCTGTGGGCCCTCCTCCAGGGTTCCCCATGGCTGTGTAGCTCATCTGCCAACTCAAACTCATGGCCACCAATGTGCTGTGAGGCGGCCCACCAGGAGTCCCTGTGACCATCCCCCTACCCAGGGGATGCCCTCATGGGGGTGGGGATGCCTTGGAGCAGAAGAGACAGTGGTCAATGGCCCAGGCCCCTCCCTAGGCAATTCTGTGGCCCCAGACCTGCAGCACCAGAGCTGTGACCTCTGGGTTCCTGCTGCTGCACGCTTCAGCGGGTTATCACCTGCTGCTCTCCTGTCCCTGCCCAACATGCTAACTGTACTCTGTGGGGCGGGGGGCTCTTCCTGCAACAGCTCCAGTACGGCGTGGAGAGATTTGTGTTGAGCTCACTGACACTTCTGACATGGAAGCAGTTAGTGTTGGGGACAGTAGTCCCCCACCTTCCCCTACTCATGGGACTTGAGCCCCCATGTCTTAGGGCCTCTTGCCTAGGCTGGGACCCCTGGATCAGGGTCTCCCTGGCACTCCTACCTCACCATCCTCACCTCCAGGGATGGAATCATATCCATGGGCTTGTTCTTATCTTAAAGGATACTGAGAAACTTTTTCACAAAATTATTGCCCCTGAGCTTTCATTTCCCACACTGGCTCCTCTCCCAGGCATGAGGCTCTGGTCCTGGGGGTCTGATCACTTTTCCCACTGCCACAGTGGAAACAGCCCTGCTCCAGTGTCCCTGGCTGCACAGCTCACACCTAGACACCCCACTTCCTGGAAGTCACATGATCTTTTCACAAACACCTTTGTTCCCAGATCATCACGAGGACAGCTGATGCGACCATCAGTCTCTCCTTGGCCAATCTGACTGCACCCCTGGTGACATCTCTGCAACTGTGCTCTATAAATCAGAGTGGCCAAGGGCATCAGCCCCTCCCAGCACCCTGGACCACAGCAAACCAAGGGGTCAAGGCCAGGACAATGTTCAGCAAACAGAGGAGCAGGGGGCAGCCAGCTCACAGGGAGACGGGGGCAGATCTGTTTCCTGGAGATATTCCCGAGGGAGGCTCAGATCTACAGATCTAAGAAATGCCCAGGATGGCAAAAGGGCAGCAGCCCAAGTGAGGGCATGGAGGAGGGTGTGAGCCACTCTCCCCCACTTCTTGTGAGCAGGTTGGCCTTGGAGTCCAGATGAGCTGGAGCTGGAGCCTGGGCAGGGATGGACGTGGAGCAGGGTCCTGGGTCCTGGCCTACTCCACCATCCTGGGACTGTGGGCACATTTGGGGTAGAGAGCTCCTCATACAGCTTCCAGTCTCTCCCCTCTCCCCTCTCCCCTCTCCCTCTCTCCTAGGAGAATAGATACACGAGGGCACTGCCTGCCTGGAGTTCTGCCCCCTCGGGCAGGTGGGGCCCACACCCCACTCTGCAACCCTGCCTGGGATCTGGTGGTCTCAGGCTCTGGGCCATGCTGAACTCACAAATGTCCCTGAGCCCCCTGGGCATCTATCTGCTGGCCAGCAGGAGAGGCTGTAGGGGCCCAGGTAGGCCTCCTGGGCCTGGCTGAGGAACCCAACCCCACCACCACCAAGGAGGGCCCTCTGCTTACATAGGCAGGATGAGGCCCTGCCACATTGTCAAACAGGCGTCACACATGCAGGCAAACCCTGGCCTCATGGCAGTACCACCTTGGTTACAGGGCCAGCCAGGAAATGTCATCACCATCTTGGGAATAGTGGCAAGCAGGCTCTCAGGAAAGCTGCCTCTGTGCATGTGCAGATGCATGGGTACACGCGTGCACGCACGCACGCATGCACACGTACACTCCCACACACCCTGCAGAGTCAGAGACAGCCCGTCAGCCCGGTCTCTAAGATTCACCAAGGTAACAAAGTAGCCACGGTGAAAGGCAAGGCTTTGCCAGCAGAGGGTGCCCACAGGGCTGAGGGTGCCAACCAGGGGCCAAGGGAACAAAAGGGATGGTGGCTGCCCTGGAAAGCCAGCTGGCTGTCCCCCAAGCTCCACCACCTGCCCCAGTCCAGAGTGAGTCACGGGCCACAGACGTGGTCCAAGCTCTGAAGAGAAAACCAAGTGCTGCGCGTCCAGCCTCCCGCCCCCATCCCCCGCGGTGGTGCACCGGGCCTCGCGCGCCCCCCATCTCAGCTGCAGCGTTGTGATGAGGGGTAAAGCACTCAGCGAGACCACAGGCTTGGCTCGCATCTGATTTACTGTTTCGGAGTCTGGGTCGTTAGTGGGGAGAGGCAAGCTGGGCTCAGGCAGCAGCAGGTGATACTGGGAGCACAGGAGGAGACCCGTAACGCGCCCCAGTGGGGCCAGACAATGTGGGGGTCGCTGCAGTGTCCCTGTCCCCCAATCTGTTTGTGACCCTGTGAGTGTTGGCCTTGGAGCCTGGCAACAGCAGGGGCGGGCGTCTCCGGTCCCCTAGGCCCCGAATGCCAGGCTCTGGCCCCACCTCTCTGCACCTGGGGTGCTGGTGGGGCCCCCAGGTCCCCGCAGGCGCTGTCCTCCAGGCAGCCAGGATCCTGGTGCCGCCCCCTGCTCTTCCTCTCCTTCAGGAGGCTTTTGGGGCCCCGATGCCAGCTTCTCCTCCCCTTTCGGTCCACTCTCTCTCCACAGGGGACTCTAGTGGCCCTGGCCAGCCGCGGGCCCCCCTTTCCACAGTGGGGCCGGGCTGCAGCCTCCCCTCCGGGCTGGGGCGGCCAGGCCTGTGGTTCTCAACCGGCTCTCAGGCCCCTGTCCATGTCCCCCCTAACTGCGGCCGGAAGGGCCACGCGTGTGCGCGGCTCTGGGGGCTCCGGCGCGCTCAGAGCTGCTGGCGCGGGCCGTGGGGCGCGGCTGCGGTCCCCGGCGGGCGTGCAGGCCTTGGCCGACAGCGCCCTCTCGCGGCCGGAGCGGAAGGCGGCGGTCACGGTCACCAGGTAGGCGGTGGCGGGCGCCAGGCCCTGCAGGGTGGTGCTGTTGCGGCCCCCAGGCACCTCCACGCGTTGCGCGGCGCCGCCCCGTAGCGGCCCGAACTGCACGACGTACCCGAGCATGACGTCGGGCCCGAGCGCTGGGGCCCAGCTCACGCGGAGGCTGCGCGGCCGGGCGTGCGAGATGACGATGCGCTCGGGCCCGGCCTCACCTGTGGGGAGAGGCGGTCAGCGGGAGGAATGGGGGACCCTGCGCCCGGCCCCGCGCCCCGCGCCGCCCCGCCCCGCGCCTCACCCGGCAGCGTGCGCACCCGCACCCGCTGCGGCCGCAGCAGGCGCACGTTAGACTCGGGCAGCAGAGACACCTCGTAGTCTGTGTCGGGCTCGAGCCCCGCCCAGGTCCAGCCCCTGGCTTCGCCAGGGAGCTGCTGGCGTCGGACGGCCCCCAAGTCGCTGCTGGGTGCCAGCTCCAGCACGTAGTAGCCGGAGTCCGCGGGCAGCAGCGCCGGCCAGGCCAGGTGGACACTGCTGGAGGTGATCTCAGAGGCGTGGAGCTGCTGCGGCTGCACAGTGTCTGCGGAAGGTGCAGGGTCAGGGGACCAAAGTCGCCTCCTCCGAGCCAGAGGGTGTCCCTGGCTGGCCCAGGGAAGGCAGGGAGATTGGAGGGGTCCCAGGAGGACAGGTGGGGTCATCAGCCGTGCAGCTCCAACCCAGGCCCCATCAGGAACTTCCCTGTCTCACCCCCAACCTAGGCCTGGTGGTGAAGGGACAGTGGCCACTCTGCACCCAGACCAGTGGCCTGCATGAAGGTCCCGCAAAGGTGGCAGACCCCATGGTGGTGTCTGGGGAGCTCAGACCCCTAGGCTGAGTGGCCAGTACCAGGGTCTGGGACCCTCCAGGCTCTGGGCAGTTAGGCAGAGGGGACCAGAGCTGCAATTAAGAGATAGAGGGAGGCCCCGGGGTCAGTAACAACCCCCGGAGTAGCGGGGCGTGGAGTCAGGGTGCTGCCTGTCCAGGCCCCCAGAAGGTAGTACAGACTTGAGTGGGCCCCTGAGCCTGTGGCGCCAGATGCCACATGGGCACATCAGGCTGGCCAGTGTCTGGGCTGGGTCACGACCATCCAGGTCACAGACTTCCTCTTCGTTTATGCAGGGTGCCGGCGTGCCCATCCCCCACTCCCCCCACAGTCCCAGGCCCCCTGCCCCACTGAGCACCCTCTCTGTCCCCTCCAGGCTCGGCTGTGTCTGGTGCAGTCAGTGGGGTCAGTGTCCCTGAGGCAGATCTTGGGGAGGACCCTCCAACCCTTTCCAGCCCACAAACCAACCCCTTCCAGCTCCAGGCAGATGACCAACCCGCCAGCCACCGGGCCTCATCTCCAGCCTGGCCCCTCTGGCGCATGGCCGAGGGCAGGCTTCAGAGGAAAACCAGTGGGTGCTACTAGCACCACAGCAGTGCACTGGTCGGGCCCCTCCCTGGCAGTCCCCACAAGAAGCCCTGCCATGGCTGTCCTCACTCAGAAGGGCCTGAGCCCTGAGGGAGGCTGTCCCTGACCTCTCTCGATGTCCCCTCCCCAGGCATGGTGGGCCTGGCAAGCCAGTCAGCTTTTGGGCAACACGACAGAGTTCCAGCCTGGGCACCTCCTTCCTATCCTCAGAGTCCCTCGGCCCACATCTGATATTGGGCCTGGCCCAGGACTGCCATCTGGAGGGGGCCGCTCAGGCCTGGCCCTGTCTCTCCACAGCCCAGGTGGCATCCAGTTGAGGGTGTCCATGGTCAGCCCACAGAAGAGCTGTGAGCCACTGTACTCTCAGGGGCATGGGGCACTAGCCCCCCTGAAGTGTCAGCCCAGCCTCCTGCAGCCCCCACCTACCAAGGATGGAGCTTCGAAGCTGCTGGGTGATGATGTGCAGGTCGTCCACGTCCACAAAGTGCAGGTGCTTCTCCGCAGGGGCTGAGGCAGCAGCCGATAGCTCCAGCAGGTTGCCCCTGCCAGTGCTGACGATGTAGATGGTGACACCCAGGTCCTTGAGCTCCTGCATGGGGGGGCCTACGGGGTCACTGGAGCCCCCGTCTGTCACCCACACCAGTACCTTGGGCACCCCTGCCCGGGCACCCGTGGCCGCAGCAAATAGCTGCTCCTTGGCAAATGCCAGTGCTAGGCCAGTGTTGGTGTCACCCATCCGCTGGGCTGAGGCACGGATGGCATCCTGGATGGCCTGGCCTGAGCTGTGCCGGTTGAAGGGGAACTCGGAATGTGGCAGGCTGCCCACATGCACCAGGCTGGCACGCAGGGCCCCAGGGCCCAGGGGCAGTGGAGCCACCAGCTCCCCCACAAACTCCCGGACCCGGGAGAACTCATAGTGTGACATGCTAGCCGAGCTGTCCAGCAGAATCAGCAGGTCCCCCTGAGGGGCCGATGCTGGGGGACCTGCAGGGAAAAAAAAGGACCACAGTTCAGCCCCAGTTTGGGGCCCCGATACACCCATGCCCAGGTTAGGACCTCTAGACTGCAGGGTTTCCTGAAACAAGTACTTGCCCTCCCCAGGGTCTTGGGGACAAGAGTTCTGAGCCACACAGGAGGCCCACATTCTTCCTGTGTTCCAGCTCTGCACGTGCTAAGGCACCCTGGCTGGCTCTGTCCCATGTGTAGAGGGCTGCTGGCCCTCCACACATCCAGCAGACAGCAAGCAGCTGGGCAGGAGTCCTGATCGAGACCTCCATGAGAGGCCTCGCCTTGGGCCCTGCTCCCTCAGGCTGAACTTCAGAGAGTGTCTTCAGGCTGGGGTTCAGCCTCACGGCTCTCAGCCAGGCCAGGGAGGGTGGGTGCAGGGCACAGGAACGGGGAGGTGGAGCACTGAGCACAGCTCCCCAGCCCAGATGGCCGGCGGGAGTCCTGACCCCACTTACGGATGATGTCACCCAGTCTGGACCTAAAAAGCATGATGCGCCCACAAACACACACACACACACACACACACACACACACGCACGCACACACACCCCCGCGCAGCCGAGGGACACCCTCCTTCTGGGCGCCTCCAACACTGAGCCGCTGAGACCCGGCCTTGGTGTTCCCCAATCAGTGGGGCGATTTCAGCCCTCCCACCACCTCTCTCTCCTGAGGCCCTTCCAAAGTTAAGGAAACTGAGGCAGCGCAGCCTCCCAGGCAGACATCTCGGTCCCGGCGTCCAGGCCCGTTCGGCCGTGCACCTGAGCGTGCCCACCCGCCTCGCGGCCCCGAGGACAGCGGCCGTCGGCGTCGGCTGCGGGGCGGAGGGCCGCGCGCACTTACCGCGCTCCGCGCCGCTGCGCGCTAGAGCCAACCACAGGCCCAGGCCCAGGCCGAGCGCCGTCCAGGGCAGCATCGCGCGGAGGGACGGATCGCTCGGCCGCAGCTCGTCGCCTGCTAGCTCTCGGGCGCGGGCGGCTGGCTGGAGCTGGGCCCGCCCCTCTAGGGCACGCCCACTCGACCGCCACACCCACTTCCGAGTCACGCCCACTCCCCGACGCGAGGAAACGCAAGCCCGGGCGAAGACGCCCACCTGTGCGAACTGGGCAGAGGCGCGCCCAGGAACCGCCCTGCATTTGCGTCTACGTGAAGCACCCAGGTCTCCGTCCTCGGCTGTGAGGCCGTGGGGTCCCCCTCATCACCCCTCTCCTAACGCCAGACCCTTGAAGCTTCCTGCTGCGGAGTCCCTGAAGCCATGCCTGAGAGCCAGCGGGTGGAGGGGCCTCGATGCCCCGGAACAAAGCCCCCAACAAAGCCCAAGCCCCGGGCACACGGTGGCCACAGGAGCATTTTAGGCTTAGGTGTCTCCAAAGCCTGAGCAGAAGGGGATGGGAAGGGCCTTGGGGTGGAGCTTAGGACACAGAATCCTGGAAGGGGACGGGAGCCTGAAGGGAAGCTTCTTAGAAGACGCAGAAAAACTTTGAAAGCCAGCACCCACCGAGAGCTCCGGGGGGAGCAGGGCTGGTTCCGGCCCTGTCCTCTTACCCTGATGGGCCAGCCTCTTCCTGGCCTCCTACACCACCGAGTGAGGGGCTCAGGGCCAGGCCCATCAGGCGCCAGAGGACCCGAGGGGCTGCTGATGAGACGAAGCTGGGTCCCGCGACCTTGGTTAGGTCCAGACCAGTCAGGGCCGGCTGCAAAGGCTCGGGTGTCCCCTGGGCAGGAGCCCTGCCCTTGCGGTAGCCATGGAGTTGGGGGCTGGGGGCACAAGGGCTGGGGGTGTCTGCAGGATGTCCCTCCCTTCCCACCCTAGGCTGGAGGATGCTGGGCGGGAGGACGGATGGGACTCGATGGTTTTCCTTCCTCCCTTTCTGGAAAGCAGGTGAGACACCCTGGGGCCTTGAGGACTGCTGCAGTCAGCTTTGCCTAAAAAGGAAGCAGCACGGCTAAGCCCGAGAAGCTGGCGGCAGGAACAAGTGAGAACTGTGTCCCTTGCTGGGAATCTTGGCACTGGGTGCTGGCTGGGCTCCACAGACCTCAGGCCTCAGCAGGAGCAGAAGCTGCATGGAGCTTCCTCCTGGGCCCTGTCGGGAAGCGGTGGGCATGGCCCCAGAGTGAGCCACCAGGGACCTGCCTGGTCCCCGGCGAGGGCTCCACCAAAGCGGCTCTGAGCCCCGCAGGCACGCCCAGACAGACAGGTTCCCCACCCCTGGCTGGGCAGCTGGGCCACGCTGGTCCCGTCCCCATCCCCGGAGGCCGAGCTCACACACAGCCCTTGGGCTCACAGTCGCACCTCAGCCAGCCTTGCTCCACTGCCGCCAAGTTTCCGTCCCTTCTGGAAAAAGTGAGCAGGTCTTGGCCATGACTCAGGCCCTCGAGGAAGCAGCAGCCCTCCTCCCTCCAGCCCAACATCAGAGGGAGAGGACACAGGAGCCCAGCCTCCACCAAGCCTGGCTGACAGAGCCTGGCCTGCTGCTCAACCCTGCTTAGCCTCCAGGAAAGTCTAAGTCCTGCATCCCTCACTGCCCACCTCCATGCTGTCCCCAGCCACAGAGGAGTCTCGTGGCCAACCGAGCGGCTCAGCAGGGTAAAGGCCAGGCCCAGGGCATACACAGGGAGGCACAGATAGGGCTGCTAAAACCCCCTCTCTGAAGGAGGACTTGGGCATGAGCAGGGACAGGATGGGCCAGACTCAGCAGGCCTGGCCCTCAGCCCTCAGGCTCCCCGAGGCGCAGGCCTGGCCTGGTCCTGTTGACAGCAGACCGAAGATGGGAGATGCAGCCTGGGAGGCTGCACCCACCCTGCCCGGCCTTGGCCCAGGTCCCAGGAGTCCCTGTGCCTTCCTCTAGTGCTGGCTGTCAGCAGGCAGGTAGAGGGGTTTCCTGCAGCTGGGCCACTGCTCTGCAAGCGCCACCCCACCCCCACTGAGGTCCTTGGGAATGCTCCCTCCCCCACACAGCCCAGGCTGCTGAGAAGAAGGGCCTTTTGTCCCCAGCTCACTGTGGTCATGTTCGACCCCATGGAAAAGGCCAGCTCCTGGGGCCTCTGACCCCAGCAGAGGGCAGAACAGCGTGGGGCCGACCCTCAGCCTTTGAGCTGCTGTTGGTCATGTTGTTTGTGTCCCACATGCCCAAACATGGAAACAGGAAGTGGTAGAAGCAGCTGGGCATGGGAGACCTGGGCAGGGCAGTAGGGTGAGCCTGGGCCCTGGGACCCCACCCTGAACGTTGGACAGGGGGACAAGGGGGACAAGAGGAACTGGGCCGCCCCTTCCTCTAGACTCGACTCCCCACTCTGCAGTCAAGGCCATGCCAGTCAGGGCCCAAGGACTGTCCTGGGGACCCCGCTGCCTGGGGTCCTGTCTCTCCTCCAGGAGCCTGAGCTAACTCCTATCCAGTCCCTCTGCAGCTAGGGCCAGGATGAGCAGCCCAGGTATGGCCACTGCATCCATCTGTCACACTGGTCTCTGCACTGGGCACTCAAGGCAGAGCCAAGTGGAGCACTGTAGAGATGAACAGCTGCTTTCCCTGAGCAGGTGGGGCCCTGTTCATCAGGGGCAGCAGGGACTTTGGAGGAGGAGCTACGGGAAGGAGGAGCCTCATAGGCCTGGGGAGGTCTGGGCTGGGGGCAGGAAGGGCAGGGCTGGCTGTAGGGCCTTCAACCCACAGGATGTTGGGTAGGATTCCGAGGGGGAGACAGGGCAGAGGTGTATGGCATTAGGAGGCCAGCCCCAGGCTTTGAGGGAGGTGCCTGGATAAACAGCCACAAAACCAGGCATGGTGCAGTATGCCTGAAATCCCAGGATTCTGGGAGGCTGAGGCAGGAGGATCCCGTTTGAGCATAGCTTGGGCAACTTAGGAATTTAGCAAGACCTTGTCTGAAAATAAAAAAATACAAAAAGGGCTGGGAAGGGCTGGGGATTTAGCTCAGTGGTTCCGCCGCCTGCCTCAAAAGCGAAAGAACCAGAGTTCGATCCCTGTTACCAAAAAAAAAAAAAGGGATGGGGACGTAGCTCAGTGAGAAGGCCCTGGGTTCAGTCCCCAGTACTGAGGCGAAAAAGGAGAAGGAAAAGGAGAAGAGCCATCAGAGATTGGGAATCTGAGAGACAAGACACAATGTGCCACCGGCCTAGCAACAAGGCCCCTTCCCTTCGCCAGGAAGGGTCCGGCAGGCTGAGGCAGCAGCGCTGGGCAGGCCCTAACACCCAGGGCCCTGATGGGAAGGTGGCAGTGGAGAAGACAGGCCTGGGTCAACACCAGCAGGAGGAGACGGGCCTGGGGCAGGCAGGGGCCGTGGCTGTCAGGACCAGCCTGGTTCATCCCGGCTCAGTCCCCATCCACAGCCCTCAGGTCTGGCTGGGGCATGGCCTGCCAAGAGCTTACAGGGGGCCCAGGGTCAGAACATGGAAAGCAGGCCCCTCTCCTTTGGCTGTCGGCTGCACCAGCTTTGTTAAAAACACACAGCCTTGGCCAGGGATTTAGCTCAGTGGTTCTGGCGCCTGCCTCGAAAGCGCAAGGTCCAGATTTCAATCCCCGGTACCAAAAAACAAAACAAAAACAAAAACACACAGCCTTGGGCAAGGTGGGGACCTCACCACAGTCAGCCTCTTCACCTGTGGGGACAAGCCTGCCCAAGGCATGAAGGGAAGCAGCTTGCCAGGCACCTTCTCACCAGGCCTCAGCTGCCTCGGAAGAACCTGCACCCCTCACAGTGTTCTCAGACCCCCGGTGTGGCCTCAAAGCCCTGAAGAGCTGGCCCTGGGACAGTGCAGGGTGGCAGCGGGAGCCTGGGAGGACTGAGGCCACTCTAGACCTCCAGGATGGAAAGGGATCCTGGGGAGGGGGCAGGTGGCCATCAGGCTGGCCCTGGCCCCCGAGGTGTGGAAGAACAGGGACAGAGATCAAGTGGGGCACAAGTTGGGGACTGAGACTTGTGGAGCCTGGGTGGCATCCTGGCCTGGGAGGGAAAGGAGGGCAGCAAAGGCCACCAAATACCTCGGGTCTAGGGGGCCAGACAGCCCCTCTCCTTTCCCGGCTGCCCAGATGACCCCCGAAGGCCCCTGGAGAGGCCACTACTAGGAAGAGCCTGGGTCCTCCTGCCCCCCAGGCCCCAGGCCTATGTTTGGGCTCTGGTGGACCAGCTGCAGCCCCCAGCACACACCTGGCCCAGCTTTGCTCTCCAGGACAAAACCCAGTCATCAGGCCCCTCTGTGTGTCCCCAAAATCCCCTACAGTGGTGTTGTTGTTGTTGTTTGTTTTTGTCTCCTTCTGGGCTTTGAACCCAGGGCCTTCACTTCAGTGTGCTCTGCCACTGAGCTACAGCTCCGATCCCGCAGTGGTCCTCTGGGTTTTTTTTTAATTTTTGAGACAACCTCTCAGTATGTAGTCCAAGTCAGGCTTGAACTTGGTATACAGCCAGGTGGCTTTAAACTCTCCACCCTCCCTCCTCAGCCTGTCAAGTATGGTTAGGGTTACAGGCCTGAGCCACCACACAGGACTCCCAAAGTGTCCCACTCAGGGCAGGTCTGCACACTGGGGCTGAAGCAGGTCACCCAACTGCCCTCCCTTGGAGGTCACCAGGGCCAGCAGGAGGTGTCTGGGCCCCTAACAGAGTTGGGAAGCTGGAAAACACCTCTCCCAAGCAGGCCCCTCAGGCAGCAGTGAGGCCAGGACTCTGCTCCCACTCACCTCCCCACCCCCACCAAGCCCAGCTGTTGTTTTGACGACTGTGGGGCTGGCCAGATGCTCAGCCAAGAGCTTCCCAGGAGAGTCTTCTGAACCCCCACTGGCAGCCAGCGCCTGGCCAGCCTGGGGCAGGAGCGGAAGGAAGGCAGCCTGGGCCCAAGGGAAGCCCTCCTAGGTGGCTTGGCGACTGGCCGGCTCCGTCTGCTCAGGAAAAGCATCAAAGCTGGACGCAGATGAAGGATGGGAACCCTGAGTCACCCACTGGACCTCACCCAGCTACACACTAGTCTGTGCTTGAGGCCTCAGAACGAGTGTGACCCAGGTCACAGGCTGAGCCCTCTTGGCAGTGTGCTGTGTGGGGTTATTTAAAAGGCCTTTTACCAACAGCTAGATTCTTCTGGGTGAATTACAATGATCACACATCTTTAACACACTGCTGGGCTTCCATGAAAGTAAATATCTCAAAGTCCTCCCATTACATTATTATTTTTTTATTTTTATTTTTATTTTTTGGTGCTGGGGATTGAACTCAGGGTCTTGCACTTGGGAGGCAGGTGGCGCCACTGAGCTACATCCCAGGCCCCTTTTTGGGGGTTTTGTTGTTTTTTGTGTTTTTTTGGTACTGGGGATCGATCTCGGGTCCTTGCACTTGCGCAGCGGGCAGCGAAGCCACTGAGCTAAATCCGCGGCCCTTTTTTTGGTATTTTTGAGACAGGGTCTCACTCTGTAGCCCAGGCTGGCCTAAAACTCATGACAATCCTCCTGCCTCAGCCTCCCAAGTGCTGCGATTACAGGTGTGTGCCACCACACCTGGCCCATTATATTAAACATTACAAGAAAAAAACTCGAGATGTGATGGTGCAGGCCTATAATTTTAGGAGTTGGGAGGCAGGAGGATCACATAGTGTTTCGTTTTGTTTTTGTGTAGTTCAGGCTGGCAGTGAACTCACCAAGAAACAAAAAAATCAAACCTGGTATCCCAAAAGTGAGCATGCACAGAGATCATTAAAATTTATCAGATAAATCTGAAAAAGGACCAAATACAACTTTTAGATGTTAATATAACAACTTAAAATTTAAATGCAGATTAAATATAAGGAATGAACTCTGGTAAACTGGAAGAGGGATGTGAAGAAATTGCCTAGAAAGCTGCCCAGAAAGACAGAGAACACACAAAAAGACTAATTGACAGGGAGGCAGGAGGAGACAGGGCAAGAGTATGGAGAGGGAACAGGAGGCAAAACTGGAAGAGACTGGCTGAGGGCTGAGAATGTTCCGTGACTGCTGAAAGACATGAATCTACAGGAACAGGAAGGAGTCACGCACTTCACACAGGGTAATGAAGAACATGCCTATGGTGGATGCCGAAGCTCACACTCCAGGGGCAGAGGGAAGAAGACCACAAGTTCAAGGCCAGCCTGGGCGATTTGGCAAGACCCTGACTCAGAAGAAAAGGGTCAGGAGCTGGATGTGATGGCATTAGCCTGTAATCCCAGCCCTCTGGGAGGCTGAAGCAGGAGGGCTGACTGCAAGTTTGAACCCAGCTTGGGCAATTTAGAGACTTAGAGAGACTTTGTCCCAAAATAAAAATTAATACTACTACTACTAACAATAATAGGGGCTAGAGATGGAGCCGGCGTGAAGACTGTGGGTTCAATCCCCAGTACCAAAATTAATTAATTAGTTGATGAAACAGCCGGGAAGTGGCTCAGTAGCAGACCCTTGGCTACACGTGTGAGGGCCTGAGCTCAATTCTCAGGAGCGGGAAAAACATATCCACACCGCGAAACATGCTAGTAAAACTGCAAAATGCCAAAGACAAGGAGAGATCTTAAAATCACCCAGAAAAGTAGACTGAGCTCTCGGTCTGGCGCCCAGCCATCGAGAGCCCAGTCACAGTGAACCCTGATCCGGCCTGGGGTTGGGGTTGGCCCCGGCCGGGTCGCAGGCTCCGGAACCATGATGGCCTTTGGTGACCCGATGTCTCCCTAGCAGGCCTGGCCACCCCGGGGACGGGGCGCAGGGGGCGGCGACCGGAGAGCGAGGGAGGTGGAGGGCCGGCCCGAGTCCCGGGAGATGGCGCCACCTCGTGGCACAGAGCACGGAGCTGCGAGGCCAACGGGGCCCTGCTCCTGCGCCCGGGCCGCTGTACGGGGGTCGTGGGGGGATTCGGGGTCCCCCGGTGTCACACGCAGGCGCAGAGCTGCTCCTCCCCGTCGGGGCCGGGGAACCAGGGGGTCCACGCGGGGGGCGACAGCAGTGGGCGGAGGCGTCGCATCAGGCGGGCGCGGGCGGCAGAGGCGAGCACGAGCAGCGGTGGCAGCAAGAGGAAGCCGAGCACGATGAGCGCCGCGGAGCCGCGGTCCGAGAGCAGCGCGCGGCACTGGGCGCGGGGAGCCGGGTGGACCTGGGGGTGGGAAGGCGGTGAGGCGGGGCCCTGCGGGCGGGGCCGGGGTCAAGAGGGTGAGGGGGCGGAGCCCTAGAGCAGGTCAGTTGGAGGGGGTGGGGCCCTGGACGGGGCCCAGGGAGGGGCGTGCCTCTGAGGGAGGTGAGGGGCAGCGAGGCGGGGGCGGGGTAGTGGGCAGGACCCTGGACAGGGCCAGTAAGCCGTGAGGGTGGAGCCTTAGGCCAGGCCAGTAAGAGGCGGGTGGGCGCCTGGGCAGGGGTGGGGGGGAGGCAGCCGCAGGAGGGGTGGGCTAGAACTGGGGCATGGCCGGAGCCTAGACATGAGGGCGGGAACAAGGGCAGGGCCAGGCGGATGTAAGGCGGGGCTCTAAACAGGCCAGTAGGAGGAAGGGTGGGCTCCCGGGCGGGGCCATGAGTAAGAGGGGCGGGGCAGGAGGTGAAGGGGTGGGGGTAGGGATGGGCGGGGCGGAGGCTGGGTCGCTGGGGGCCAGGCCATGCAAAGAACGGCAGATACTAGACACAGACGGCAAAAGGCCCGGGTAGAGATCCCATGAGAAGCTTAAAGAATCATTTCCAGCTACCCCTACTCCCATTTTCCTTCTGCCATTTGTCCTCCATTCTGTGGTCATTCCCTGTCTTGGTGGTCACCTTGAGCCCCTGACCTGCTGTCACCAGCTAGCGCCAGCTTCTCTCCAGACCTCTCCCCAAGTACAGAGATGGAAGCCAGGGCCCATCTGTGTGCGTCCTCCTGCCCCTGACCAGCATAGCCCACTGCACAGCCAGGGGAACCAGCCAGGTCAGGAGGGGTCTGAAGGGCCGTGCGTGTGGTAAGGACTCCTGCAGTTTGGCAATGATTTCACCTCCTCCTGGAGCCCTCTCCCGTCTCTCCACCCACTGTCCAGCCCTGGTGGCCCCTGGTACAGGGCTGGGAGGCCTCAGGGAGGGGACAGCACTGTCCCCTGGGTCACAAACAAAAGCCCTTCTTTGGTGGCAGCCAGGGGGGTGCTTGGGAGAAGAAGGGCTCCCAGGGAGGGGCACACGTGTCTCTGAGTACAAGGGCGCAGTAGTGGAAGGAGACAGAGTCTCCTCTAGTCCAGGGGCTCTGAATCTCTGCAGGATCCCCATGCCCCGGGGACCCCGCCCATGGAGGGGTCAGCTCACCCTCGAGTGGCACAGGAATCCCAGGTAGACCACAGCTGCTGCAGGCAGCAGCACCAGCAGGAAGACTGCTCCAGGAAGCAGCAGGTGGAGCAGGAGCCAGGCCAGGGCCCTGCCGGGCAGCAGCAAGGTCCTGAGGCCCCGGGTGGCCAGGGCTGGCTGCCGTGCGAAGGTCGGGCCCGAGCTCTGGTGGTCAGGAGGCCTTCGGGGCAGCATGGGCTCCATGTCCGAGGTGCCCCCTCCCTCGTCCTCTTCTATCTCCCTTTCCTGTTCACTCATGCTGTCCTGGCAAGGGTTTGCAGAGTTCACGGCGGCAGTCAGACAGCAGGACCAGCCCCCCCACCCCGTCAGACTACAGACCCCTCAATCCTCCCCAGGGCTCATTCCCCATCCAAATTCCAGAAGCAGACAGCAGATACGGACCCCTCTCTGCTAGGCAACTGCCTCAGCTCCTGTGCGCCGGCTAGGCTGTGCACAGATGTCTCCCAGCCTGGCTGGACACTGGTACCCTCCTCCCTCCTGGCCCAGCCCTCTGCCCTTCCTCTCCCCACACAATGACTTCATTTCATAGGGCTTGAGTCTGACAACTGCCCCATCACCAGCTACCACCTAGAGGCTGGCCACCACCTCACCCCCCACCCCAGCCCCTGCCAGCCCGGCCGCAGCCTCCCTAGTGGTGTAGGAAGACCCCAGGTACCCACTAGTAGGGTGGCTGAGGGGACGGATTGGGGTGTGCAGGAAGGGTCAGTGTGGCCCAAGCACACAGCAGGCACTCAATAAATAGCAGCTACAATGACAGGCATCCTTTGTGACGAAACCCAATGCAGATGGTGAGCACAGCCATCCTTGTGAGAGAACAAGAATACTCCATCCAGTTTCACCCAGCATTGCTAAAGTCCCTGTACACCTAACAGTTCTGCAGGACTCGCAGCATTTCAGCTGATAAGTAGGTGTCTGTGAGCAGACCAGCTTCCCTGAGACGCCTTCTTCTGCAGCTGATTTTGTCACTTCTGGCTTTTTTCTGACATTTTCCAGTCCTCTCCAGCTTGCTGGCTTCGTTCTTCAGACCCGTGTAAGTGGGGGATGATGAGTCTGTACCACAACCCCATCAGGAGAGAGCTGAGGCTCCCTGCCCCAAGGCACGGGCAACTTAATTGTTTTCCCTGGCACACACGTCAAGATGTGACAGTGCTGCCAGGTGTGGTGGCTCACACCTGTGATCCCAGCACTCGGGAGGCTGAGGCAAGAGGATCGCCAAGAGTTCAAGGCCAGTCTGAACTACACAGCCAGACCCCATCTCAAAAAACACACACACAGGCCAGGAATTTAGCTCAGTGGTTCCAGCGCTTCCCTCAAAAGTGCAAGGTCCCAAGTTCGATCCCTGGTACCAAACAAATAAACACACACGCACACACAAACACACACACAGATGCAACAGCGCTGTTTGTATACTTGGGCAATGAATTTGGGGCTAAAAAACGCTGCAAAGCATGTCTTTACTAAGCCCATCCTCTCAAGCCCTTCCTCCCTCCCTTCCTTCCTTCCACATTTATCAGACTGTCGCTGTGTATGTCTCAGGCCATTTTTTGTTGTTATAGCTAAATTCCTGAAAAACGGGCCAGGGATTTAGCTCAGTGGCACTGGCACCTGCCTTGCAAGCACAAGGTCCTGAGTTTGATCCCTGGTACTAGAAAAGAAAGAAAGGAAGGAAGAAAAGAAAGAAAGAGAGAGAGAAAGAGAAGGAGAGATATGTTTGGATCCTGGGTGCAGTGGCTGGGAAGCTGGAGGGCACAGTGCCAGCCGCTGGTGAGGCCTCCCTGGTGGCCTCTGTGTTCAGACAGCCAGTGTCCTCACTCAAGTGCCCTCCTGCGCTGCCCTCCTGACCTCCTCTGACCCTCATAGCTCCCAAGGGCCTCAGCCTCCAAAGGCCATCAACATACAACTTTAGCCAAGCACAGTGGCTCATGCCTGTAGCTCCAGCTCTCCGGAGGCTGAGACAGGAAGACTGCCATGAGTCTGAGGCCAGCCTGGGCTACATAGTGAGTTCAAGGTCAGTCTGAACTACATAGTGAGATCCTGCCTTAAAATGAACAAACAAACAAACAAAATAATGGGACCAGACAAGGACTGTCTCAGCGCAATGGCTGGGCTCCAGGTCTCTTGGGGGTGACGTCTGTGTGCCGCGGCACACGGGAATGGCTGGGCGGGCTGCAAGTGGGCAGGGGCCCCTTGCCTCCCTCAGGCGCTTGAGGGCCGCTTTCTGGGGTGGTGAGAGTCCAGGGAGACTGTGTCCCTGAGCCTGGGGTGCTGGAGGAGGTCTGGGCTGACCCCTAGTGGGGGCAGGGAGAGCCCAGCCTGGGAGTCCGACCTGGTCTAGGCTCCGGAGGGGTGGCCCACCGCCCCTCCCTGCCCCGGGCACCAGAAAGCCTCCCGCAGGGCCACTTCCCACCTCCACACCCAGGTGTTCTAGCGGCTCCGGCCCCAGAAAAACCCACTGCCTTCCTTGGCCTGGTGCATGTCCTGCCTGGAGCACTACCCAGACCAGTCCGCAGGGGTAGCCACCCCACCTCCCGCTCCGCCCTCTGTCCAGGAGGTCGTGGGAAGCATCTGCATGGGGAAGAGTGGAACCCCACCTGTCCCCTCCCCGCCCTCGGGAGCAAGAGGTGAAAGGGTTGCAGCCCAGGTAGTTTTAGTGGGGGTGGGGAGGGAATGTCGGGCGCCTGAAGGCTAAGGGGCCTCTGCAGACCGCAGGCATGTTCCTACCTGCCCTTCCCAGCCACCTGCGGAAGCTGGCAGACAGTAAGGGGCAGGGTGCTCCTGGCACAAGGGCCTCCGGCTAAACCGCTCGGTGCACAGTGTCGAGTGGCTCGGCTTGGGGGGAGGGAGCAGCAGCCTGCTCTGCCCATCCCCTTAGAAACTCCAGCTTCAGAATCAGCACCCCACCTCCCAGGAGGGCCACCGGGCCGAAGCTGAGGCAATACCGGCACGGAGAGGACAGAGCCACCAGGGCAGCTCCCTTTGTGGATAACTGGAAGCCAAGCCCAGCAAGCCTAAGTGGTGGCGGGTGCCCTGGTGGGGTGGGGTCTCCATGCCAGCGGAGGACCCCTGGATTGGGCGGGGCAGCAGCCGCTAGGGGGCTGCAGGCCCCTCCTCTTCCCAGATGGACCCCAGCAGGCTGGGACCCAGTGCGCAAGACCTGGCCGAGGCGCAGCTGGAGCTGCGGTGGGTGGAGCTGGGCTCAGAGGCCCCTGGAGCCAGGGGAGAGAGGCCCAGCGCTCCCCAGGCCTGGAGCCGCCTGCTCCAGGCGGTGTGTTGCGGTTCCCCAGGCCTGGTAATGCAGCTGCTGCGGAAAGGCGCCAGCATAGAGGAGAGGTGAGCCTAGGTCCCCACTCTGGGTGAGCCGGGGTCCCTACGTCCGGGCAGGGTGGCTGGGGTCCCCCCTCTGGGCGGCTGGGGTCCAGGTCTGGGGTCCCCGCTCTGGGGTGCCAGGACCCGGTCCGGGTCCCAGGTCCGTCCACACCTGCGCCCGACGCCGCGCTCCCCCGCAGGGACGGCATGGGCCGCACCCCGCTGCACCTGGCGGTGCTGCGCGGCCACGCACCCCTCGTGCACCTGTTGCTGCGACGCGGGGCGCAGTCGGACGCGGCGGACGGCGCGGGGCGCACGCCGCTGCATGAGGCCGCCTGGCACGGGCACTCGCGCGTGGCCGAGCTGCTGCTGCGGCGCGGGGCCCCGGCGGGCGCGGCGGACGTCGCGGGGCTGGCACCACTGCACTGGGCCTGCGCGCTAGGCCGCACGCCACTCGCGGGTCTCCTGCTGGCCGCGCCGGGCCCTAGCCCCGACCAGATGGGGGATGCTCACGGCTGGACGGCAGCGCACTGGGCTGCGGTGGGCGCGCGGCTGCCGGCGCTCGAGCTGCTGGCGGCGCGCGACGGCGCGGACCTGGATGGCGCCCTGCTGGTGGCGGCCGAGGCCGGGCGCTCGGAGGCGCTGCGCCTCCTGCTGGCGCTCGGGGCGCGGGCAGACGGCGCAGACCGCGCGGGGACTTCGGCGCTCGGGCTGGCAGCGGGCCTGGGCCGCCTGGAGGTGCGTCCCCTGCGCGGCTGCCGCGGCGTCCTGGGCTCAGGGTCCCAGGCGCGGGGTCCTGGGTGCGCCCCTCACGCCTACAGCGTCGCTGCCGACATCTGCCCGGGTCGAGGCGGCTCCGCTTCCCCTCTTCTCCCTCCCCAGGTCATGGAGGTGCTGCTGGCCCACGGGGCCGACCCGGGAGTCCGGGATAGGCACGGCCGCTCCGCGCTCCACAGAGCTGCGGCTGGGGGACACCTGCCCGCCGTCCAGCTGTTGGTGGCCTGGGGAGCCGCGGTGGACGCGCAGGACTCTCTGGGCCTCACGCCCCTGCACCGCGCAGCGCGGGCCGGGCGCGCTGAGATCGCTGGCCACCTCCTGGACAGCGGTGCGCAGGTCAACGCTGCCGGCTGGCTCCACAAGACCCCGCTGCACCTCGCCACAGAGCACAACCAGAGAGCCACAGTGGAGCTCTTGCTGAGCCGAGGGGCCAGCCCCACCCTGAGGACGCAGTGGGGTGAAGTGGCCCAGACGTCCACTGGGGGCCCGCCCCAGGAGCTGCCTGGCCCCTGGCCGCCTCTGGAGGAGGCTGAGCCTCTGCACCCGTAGCAGCACTGAAGGCTGCTGGCTTTTGTCTCCAGGGCCGAGAGCACCTGCTTGGGGTGGGCGATCTGCAGAGAAGTCCCCGGAGGTTGGCGTCATGGGGCTGTGGCTGGACCTGGGGTGACCCCTCAGCTCCCGGGAACACCCATAACCCTCAGTGCCAGCCTTCTCCCCTGCAGCTGTGACCAAAACCGGATGGCTTCCTTTGTCTACTCCCTGTGGGGCACCCTAACCCCTCCCGCTCACCACACATGGGGCACCCTGTTTTCTTAGACTCCTCGTCTCTCTGTTTGGCTTCCATTAAGCACATTGGATCTCCCCTCCACCCAGAGCCCCTGCTCCCGGGGCCTCCTGCTGTAACTCCTTCAGGCCAAGCTGGGAATGGGCAGCAGGTGCCCTGGGACCCCCAGACCGCCATTGTGTGCACCCTCCCTGCTGTGCCAGGGGGACCTGAGAAGGGCTTCCTCATGCTTTCTGTGCCTCCTGATCAAGGCCTGGTGCTTTTCTGTGTGGCAAAGCCCAGTGCCAGGGTGTGTGGTGTGGCCAGCTCCCACCTCGCAGGAAATGTAATTACAAACTTCAATAGCTTCTCCTTATCTTCATTCAGTCATCTTCATAATTTCAAAATCCCACAGGTAGGTAGAACAGAAACAGGATCGTTCTCGCTGCCCCAGCTCTGTTTCTTCGTAGAAAAATCATTGTTGTCATTATTTGATTTTAAAGTACAGTCAGACCTGGTAGTGGTGGCACACGCCTGTCATCCCAGCACTTGAGAGGCTGAAGCAGGAGGATTATAGTGAGTTTCAGGCCAGCCTGGGGTACACAGTGAGACTCCTAATAAGTAAACTATAGCCAGTTGAAATGGCATGCCCCTGTAGTCTCAGCACGACAGGCTGAGGCAGGAGAATTGCTTGAGTCCAGGAGTTTGAGGCCAGCATGGGCTACATAGTGAGACCTGCATTCCCCCTCCCCCCAAAAAGAAAAAAAGTTTTTTGTTTTAGCAGAATAGAGTTCATCCAGAAGCAAAGAATGATGTGCCAAATTGGCACTGCTGTGTGCTAGGGCTATCGAAGAAGTTGGGCTTTACTCCCAGGGTAACCAGAAACCTCAGGGACATGGCTGGACTGTGCCCTGTCCAGAGACCAGGAAACAGGGAAGAGGAGGAAGATCCCGGAGGCCTTGCCAGTGAACTGGTGTCAGGGAGAGGGATTGGAATAGCTCTAACCCCAGGTAGGCTCAGGCTGAGGCAGAGCCACTGAGCCTTTGGACTCCTGAGAAGCCCTAGGAGGCACTGGAGTGAGCAGAACCCTCAGAGCAGAGCAGCATTGAGGCCGGAGGAAGGCCCCACACACAGGGAGAGCCCCGGAGCCTGGGGCTCCCACCTCTTCCTGGCTGTGGCTAGGCCTGGACATTGCCTGGCTCGGAGAACAAGCTACAGTCTCCATCATCCTCCACCTCCATGCACCCTGAGCCTGCGCAGTGGCCAGGCCTTCCGTGTGGGCATGGGTGCTGCATCCTTCCCACGGTGAGCCCTCTTGGGGCTTTGCATTTTCCAGATGGCCCAGCCTGTGTCCCCATCCCATGGGCTCTTCAGCAGTGTTATCTCAAGTGACTCCCATCCAGAGCTGGAGTCTGTCTCCTCTCCTTGGTGCTGGATGGGCTTTTGGAACCATTTGGTCCCAGAATGGGTGGAGCAATGCTATGTGATTTCTGGGCTGGGTCAGGAGGGTGGCAGTGCAGCCTCCGTGGCTGTGAGAGCCCTGTCTGCTGCTGACTGCACTGAGCTCACCTGCCCCGACTCCTGCTCACCTCATGCTGAGCAAGTAATCACATCTGGAGGTCATTATTTGTGTGTGTGGTACTAGACATGAAACCCAGATGTGCTCTACCACTGAGCTACATCCCTGGCCCATTTAGAATTTTATTTGACAAAGTGTCTTAGTTACTTTTTTCCCTGCTGAGACAAAATACCTGACACTCAAAGTTAAAGGAGGAAAGGTTTATTTAGCTCACAGTTTGTAGAGGTTTCAGTCCATAATCTGCTGGCTCCAAGACAGGGTGGCATCGCAGAGGAGGAACAGTTCATGGCAATAAAGAAGGATGAGCTTCAGACATTTCTAGCTAAATGGATGGACCTGGAGACCATACTCTTAACTGAAATAAACCAGACACACATGTTTAAATACTGAATTGTTTCTCTGGTGTGAGAAACCGAAAGCAGAAATAAGAACTGAGATGTATAATGGATGTTGGGAAATGGGAAGAAAGTGTTCACATGGGAAGGGGAACAGGGAGGAGGGAGGGAAAAAGGAACAAGAAAAAAAGTGAAAATAGAAGGAAAAAATGGAAACAAAGCTTCTGTACTTAGGGAGGGGACGAGGCTTGAGGGGGGAATAGGATAAAATAAATTTTATTTATTTAGTTATTTTGGTACTGGGGATTCAACTAGGGATCTTGCGCTTGCGAGGCAGGCAGTGGCACCACTGAGCTAAATGCCTGGCCCATAAAATTTATTTTAATTTTAATTTTTTATTTTTTGGTACTGGGGATCAAACTCGGGTCCTTGCGCTTGTGCAGCAGGCAGGGAAACCACTGAACTAAATCCCCGGCCTGATTTTTTTAAAAAATGTTCATGGCAGGGAAAAGGCAGCAAAGCAACAAGGGATGACCCCAGATCTTTCTATCCCTTCTATCTTTTTGTTTTGTTTTCCGGTACTGGGGATAGAACACAGGATCTTGCATTTGCAAGGCAGGCGGGGTTCCACTGAGCTAAATTCCCAGTTGGATCCCTTCTATCTTATTCAGGCTGCTTAGGTGGGCAGCACTCACACCCTTAATCCTAGTGCCTTTGATCCCAGCATTGTACCATGAATCAATTCCAGCATCACACACTCTAGATGCAACCACCTCTGAAAAAGCCCCACCTATGACTGCATGAGGCTTTGGGGGCTTCTAGACACAGCCGTAATAGACAGGGTCTCCCTAATTGGCTAGGTTGGCCTCACACTTGGCCATCCTCTTGCCCCAGCCTCCCAGAGGGCTGATATATGCCACTAAGTCACTTCCTTCTTTAGCATAAAAACTTTCAGGGCAGATTCTTCTGAAGCTACTTAAAACTGCACCCCAAGAGGAAAAGCTCACTCTTACACAGGATGCCAAGTGACCATGGGATGGATGGTGGAGTCGGAGATGTAGGGCCACAGATGTAGCTCAGCAGTGCTGTGCCTGCCTGGCAAGCACAAGGCCCTGAGTTTGATTTCAGGTACCAGATTTTTTTTTTAAAAAGACACAATATGATTTCTGCCAAGAACCTATTAGCCTGATTTGTTTGTTTGTTTTTTGACACAGGGTCTCCCTGTGTTGTTCAGGCTGGCCCTGAACTCACTGTGTAGCCCAGGCTGTCCTTGAACTTGTGACATCCGGTCTGTATTAGTCTGATTCTAATCACTATGAAACAAATGCAGGTTGAGGGGGCATCCAGATCATTGGGCTGTATCCCTCAAGAATCCTGAGGTCACAAAAGACACAGAAAGGCTAAGGGAACATTCCAGATTGTGCCTAAAAATTAAACCCTAAATGTGGTGCGTGGACTCTGGACTGAGCCCTGAAGAGGCAATGAAGCTATAAAGGACCTTTGGCAAGAGTTGAATGTGGAGGTGGTGGTGGTTAGGAATTGTCTTGTACCAATGTTAAATTTCCTTATTTGGATCACTCTGTTGTGGTTGGTTAGACAATGGCCTTGCTCACAGGAAATGAATTGTTTGTATTTAGATATTTCCAATTTCCTCTCAAATGGTTCAGGGGAAAACCCTCAATGCGTATAAATAGTTATAAAGAAAATTTTAGAACTAGGTGTGGTGGCACATGGCCATTATCCCAGGACTTGGAAGCCTGAGGCAGGAGGACTGCTCTGAGTTTGAGCCCAGCTTGGGCTACACAGTGAGCTCAAGACCAGCCTAAACTACACAGCAAGACCCAGTTTCACTTGTTTTGTAATTTTTTTTTCCCAGTACAAGGGATCAAACTCAGGACCTTGTGCTTGTGAGGGAGGTGCGGTGCCACTTCGCTAAATCCCCAGCGCTGAGCAACATCCTGCCGCAGACCAGCTGCAGTCGATGCAAGATAGGAAGGGGAGAGGTCTCGGGCCGGCGAGTGAGAAAAGAACCGTCACAAGCAATGTGCAGGCTCCCTCTGAGAAGTCTCAGGGTCTGATTTACTTTTATATCTCTAAGCACTAGCTAGGGAGCATTGGGCGGAACATGTTTACATTGTAGGTTGCCTTAGCAACGTCTAGTGAGGTAAAGGTTATTTTTACTAAACAGTATGTTTCTCTAAGCTGATTCATATCATCGAACATCATGAATACATTTCTTAAAAATCACAATTGTCCCCTTATTTTCCCATACCTAAGTAGAACAGAATGTAACTTAATCAAAGTCTCCAGAGGGTAACTTAATTAGAATCTCTATAGCAGCGGGGGTACAAGCAAGATTTAATTAATTAAATGTCAAACTTGTGGTCGCCAGCTGGCCCTTGAGAAACTGCACAACAGTTAATACAGTTTGCTGTTAGCTCTCTACCTCTCTCTACCTCTATTCGTCTTAACTAACTGTCATTTGGGTTCATAGTTCATGAGCAGGAGATATTTACAGCACTGTGAAAAATATTGAATAACTCGCCTCCTTAATGCATTTACCTGTCTTAACGTTCTTTCTATTTCCCATTTTCTACTATTTCTTACATCTAAAGTCTGTCCTTCCAATCCTTTTGTAAGACCCCTTTAGTAAATAGAATGTCAACAATAAGAGGGGGAGTCATAGTAGTGGGGAAACAGGGGGTTTTGGGAGAGGTTTCTTTAGAAGTGGATGTGGCAATAGAACTAAGAGAAACTGGAATTTGGGACTTGTGAGCTAGATCAGATTTCAATACATCATTACCAATTTGCCTTATGGAGAGTTTGTTGTTAGTCACAAAGACAATGACTCCTGTGACCAGAGTAACAATTTTAAACATTATGGCAAGAAAAAAATAAAACATGAGGGTACGATGTGTTCCACCCTTCTTTTCCCCAGCTGGAACTTTGTCAAGCAGCCTTGGAGGTCGGTTGGGCTTCGCCAACATCCTGTTTCAAGAAACAAATTTTTGGGGGTGGGGGGACAGGGATGTAGCTCAGTGGCGCTGTGCCTACCTGCCAAGTGCAAGGTCCCAAGTTTGATCCCCCATACCATAAAAATAAATAAATAAATAGTTTACAAGCACGAGAGTTTGATTTCTGGTACTGAAAAAAAATTTTTTTTAATTAAAACTAAGCCAAGAAAGAAAGAAAGAAAGAACAAAAAAAAACTAAGCGAAATGCAAACAGTTGGCAAATATGGATTACAGGTATTAGCTAGAATGATAAATTGTGGAGCAAAATATAAACAGTAGTACAATTGGGGAAAGAGTATTGGGGGATTGCTTGTACTTTTTTTTTTTGAGATAGGGTTTCGCTATGTAGCCCAGGCTGGCCTCAAACTCCTTGCGATTCTCCTTCCTGGGCTTCCTAAGTGCTGGGAGTACAGACGTGTGCCACCGCGCCCGGCCCTCCTTGTACTATCCTTTTTATTTTTCGGTACCGGGAATCAAATTCAGGACCTTGGCTAGCCAGGCAGGCGCGGTGCCACTAAGCCACATTCCCGGCCCTTCCTTGTACTATTCTTTCAACGTTTATGCAATTTACAACTGTATCTAAGTAAGAAGTTACAAAGAAATTGCCACCCGCACTTTGCCTGTGTGTGTGTGTGGTACAGAGAATTGAACCCAGGGCCTTCACACTGAGCTATATCTCCAGCTCTTTTTTAGTGTTTTGTTTTGTTTTTTTATCATTCTTGGACAGTCTCTTTAAATCCCTGGCGGGGCTTCGATCTGCAAATCTCCTGTCTCAGCCTAACACAGTGCTACAGTCACTTCTTTTAACGACTGTATTCTTTTTTTTTTTTTTTTTTTTGGTACCTGGGATCGAACTCGGGACCTTGCGCTTGAGCGGCAGGCGGTGAAACCACTGAGCTAAATCCTCAGCCCTGGTCACTTCTTTTATTTGCTTGTTTGGTACTGGCGACTGAACCCAAAGCCACTCTACCACTGAGCTACATTCCCAGCCCTTTCTGGGTTTTTTGTTGTTGTTGTTGGTACCGGGGATCGAACTCGGGTCCTTGCGCTTGCGCAGCAAGCGGCGAAACCACTGAGCTAAATCCCCGGCCCCCTTTCTGGTTTTTGCGACAGGGTCTCGCTACACAGCCAAGGCTAGCCTCGAACTAGAGACCCCGTCGCCTCAGCTTCCCAAATAGCTACAGTGACTGGGACTGCAGGCGTACGCCGCCACCGCACTGTTTCATTGTGGCCTTCAGAGTATGATGTGAACGCAGCCCTCGTCCACTTCCCTCAGCTCGGCCTCGCCCGCGCCGCGCCTTTCCCGGCCGGGCGCCCAGTGCGCTCCCGGGGACGCGTGAGCTCGGGCTCTCATCAGGGGCGCACCCCGGGATCGCGGCCTGCGCCCGGCCCCCAGCGCCGGCAGCGTCCGCGCTGCACCGTCCTCCCCGCCCCGCAGCGATGCCCGCCTCGCGGCCCCGCCCGCCAGCAGACCGTCGCGCACCACGGAACCCAGGGGCCGAGCTCAGAGATGCCCGGGAAGGCAGAAGCACACGCACGTCGCCCCGTAAGTTTCCGGCGACCTTGACCCGGAAGCGCTTTCGGCGGCAGCCTCGCAGGGACATTTGGTCATGGTCTTCCTCACGACGCGACTCTACCTGCGGAACCGCGTTACCGACCGCTACTTTCGGATCCAGGAGGTGCTGAAGCATGCGCGGGTGAGTGAGCGAGCGCGCCGGGACCAGGGGGCCTGTGGGCCAAGGGCGTCCGCCGCGGTTTCCGTCACCCCTCATTTCCCGTTTCTCGCCCCAGCACTTTAGGGGGAGGAAGAACCGCTGCTACCGGCTGGCCGTCAGGGCTGTCACCAGGGCCTTCGTGAAATGCACCCGGGCCCGCAAGCTAAAGAAGCGGAACCTGAGGACCGTAAGCGCCTTCCCACCCCTCTCGGGACCCCTGGCCCTCGCCCTCGTGCAGCCCGTTGCTCCTGGGTGTTTATGCGGGGGCTCCCGCGCCTGCTAGACGAAGCTTTCCGGGGAAAAAAGCTCTTTGTTGAGAGCTGCAACTCGCGCCTGCGTCAGCAGCGCTAAAGCATTAGTGCAAAGAATAACAGCAGCAGCCTGGTCAAGCCAGTAAGGTCAGAAAGGCTCTGCTAGCAGTAGCCTCGGGTCCCAGCGTGCCCCTCTGCAGGTTTCCGATGTGAATTCCAGTTACCAGCTGTGCCCTTGGGGCGGGGCCGTGCTGCCCCCAGGCTAACCCTGTGTGTGGAAGTGCAGGCGCAGTGATGGGAGCGAGGGTCCTGGATAGCCACTGTGCCTCCTCAGAGTTCTTAGAAACACACGTTCTCAGTGGGCGTGGTGTTGCACGCCTGTAATCCCTGTTACTCGGGAGGCTAAGACAGGAGAATCATCACTCGTTGGAGGCCACCCAGCGCTACGTAGTGAGTTCAAGACCAACCTGAACTACATCGTGAGATCTTGTCTCAAAAAAAACAAAAATAGGGCTGGGGATTTAGCTCAGTGTCACCGCGCCTGCCTTGCAAGTGCAAGGTCCTAAGTTTAATCTCCGGTACAATGAAAAACCCCAAAATAAAATAGAATGGAACTTATTTCAGTGAAGTTTTGCTTGTACTGCAAGTCTGTTTGCTAGAAAGGAAAATACTAACTTACTTTTCTACTGACTTACAAATAGTTTAGTTCGGCCAGAAGGATTATTGGAAGGTAGGTATAGATATAAAGTCCAGGATGCTGTTAACTCATCTCAGTGTTTTCTTATTCCAGCTTTGGATTAATCGAATCACAGGTGCCTCCCAGGAACATGGCCTGAAGTACTGGGTGTTTGTTACCAATTTAATCAAGGTATGGCTGAGGCCTGTTGAGGTGCTTATCTGCAGGAGCCACCCCTCAGGCATGAGGCAGCCTGGTAGGGTCTGCACTGCTTTGTGTCCCTGGCTGCAGCCCTGGCAGTTTGGGGGCTTATACTTGCTTCTTCCTTGCCCTGCTGGTGGCAGAGCATGGTGGAAATAGGGCTTTTTGTACTGTGATTTGAGGCCCAAAGTTTCCCCCTTAGGAAAAAAAGTAGAAGACTTTGGCTTTAACTGTAAAGTTTAAAAGTTTTAACAGTGGAAGTTTTTTGATGATGTAACAGATGAAAATGAAACATACAATCACAGAAAGAAGAAATGTCTTTCAGGAAGAGGATAGATCAAGCGAGAAGTGTGAAATCCTGGTCATTCTTTGAATCTAGAAGTTATGTTAATCCTCTCTGGTTCCGTGTATGTTTGTGTTTTTCCTTTAAAAAGTCTGGGGAGTGGATATTCTGCTTCCACTCTGTAGGGCTCCTGTGTGGTACGTTACAAAGATCCTCAGGGTAAGCGCTCCAGTACACGATGCATGTGTGGATGTCAGTGTCTGTTTACTGTCCGGAAGCTGAGACTTAGAAGGCAGATGGACACTGTCTGAGGCACACAGGTTAGGTCCACAATAGGTCCCCTGGGTGCTTGGTAGCTGTGTTTAATGTGTGGAGACATGGCCCATCCCCCTTCTGCTGCTTAAGCCCACTGACACCAGCTTTCCACAATCACCTGCAGTTTTCTCAGTGCACGAGCCCTCAACTACTGAGTTACACCCCAGGCCTCCAGTCTCACTTGACAGGAGCCTGACCTAGCACACCGTGGGAACTTTCAGGTTGACTGATGGGTTCCAGCGGTCCAGGTGATAACCACTGACCCTAAATAAGATCCTGTTCCATGGGCAGGCTCTGGAGCCTGGACTCACCCCCCTTCCAGCGTCACACAGACTTCACAAGTGCCCTCTCCCTTGTCCTTGTTCATGTTTGTCATGTAGTGTTTTTTGTTTTGTTTTTTGGTACCAGGGATCCAACTCAGGACCTTGCACTTGCAGGGCAGGTGTGGTGCCACTGAGCTAAATCCCTGGCCCTGTCCTGTAGTGTTGTTGTGTTGCCCAGGCAGGATTCTCTTACCCTGTGTCCTCCTGAGCTATTATGTGGACAGGCTGTGCCCTGGAGCCAGAGTGCTGGCGCTGATGGGCCACTCACCACCAGAGGTCTCTGAGCCACACTGTCAGTGCAAGCCAGTCCAGCACAGGGTCTTGTGATGTGCTGCCCAAGTTGTTGCTAATACAAACTATGGGCTCTGGTTCTTTCTCTTGTCAGTGCCAGGTGGAGCTCAACAGGAAAGTACTTGCAGACCTGGCCATCTATGAACCAAAAACTTTTAAATCTTTGGCTGCTTTGGCCCAACGGAGGCGACAGGAAGGATTTGCAGCTGCCTTGGGGAATGGAAAGGAGCCTGAAGGCATATTTTCCAGGGTGGTGCACTACCACTGAGGGCTGCCGCACCTTGGATCAGGAAAATGCTTCTTCCCAATGATCCTAATGACCAAGATAGGAACAATGTGCTGTCTACTCAGTAGCTCATAAACCTGGGTTGTTACTTTATTTACACTTTGGTGCCAGGCCTGAGAGAAAAGGCCCTGTCTTCTCTCAGTGGACACAGAGTCTCAGAACTGTCTTACATAGATTATGCATATAAAGTTTTCAAAGTGTTTGACTTATGAGTTGTGTTTTATGGCATCTAGCAAACACACCTTGGGGTGTACCATACCTCCCTACCCATCCAGCTCCCTGATCCATTCCAAGTCCCCCCACCTGCCCCGTGGCTCAGCTCTTCAGCCACTGCACAGCAGCTTATTTCCCTGCGCTCTTCTCCCATGCCCCCTTGGCCAGTAGGGATCAGAGGGAGACAGCTCCACAGCAGGTGCTGATACTCCTGGTTCCAGTCTCCAGGACTTCATCAGGTGGGGGCTCCCAAACTGACAACTAACATGCTGCTCCATGATGTCCAGAAATGTTCCTGATGAGCTCACCAGCAGAAATCATTTCACAGCAGCTCTGCCAGCCCTGTGCCTTGCAGACCGTCCATGTCCACTGTTCCTATGTAGTGGATAATGTGTCTTCCCATCTGCTTAGGGCCAGGCCTACCCTTGTCCTCTCAGGGACATGGTCCCATCCAGAGCCTGCACATCTCTATTTTGAGCTCCAGCAGAGCCCTTTGGGCCTAACAATGGCTGTCCGCTTGCTGGTGACCCCATTTATACAGGCAACACACACTTGCTTATCCTGGAGGGCCACCACTACTCCAGGAGAGCTGGATGACAGCTGTCACCAGTAGCAGCAGAATTTCCTGTGGTCACACCTCCCTCATCCTATGCTGCCAGTTGTTTCGAGTCACTCCATGCTCCTCCATGGACTCCACACTCACCTCCACTCCCATACAGAACTGACCAAGCCCTGACCATCTAACTAGGAATCCTAAAGATCATCACTTTCCTCTGCCCTCCCTGCTGGCCGACGACATCTGACTCATTACTGCCCTCTGTGCCCCTTCCTCCTGGCCCTGTCGGCAACCTGAGAATCCCCATTGCACCATAAACTTGGGAGGCTAGGGGCTATCTTGCTCATCTCTCCTGTTGCCTGAGTTCAGCTCCTGGCTGTGTGCATAACTGCTCAGGCAGTAAGGCAGAGTCGCACCCCTTCAGTACTGTGGCACTTCACGTCAAAGGGGAAAAAGCTTGTGGATTGCACCAGCAGCCCTGCTTCAGCCCAAGAGCTATGGTACCATGCACTAGGGCTGGCCTAACTGGCTGAAAACACCAAGCTCTCCCACAAATGCTTCCAGTCACGGGGAGAAACAAGATGCATGTGGGTTTCCAGAGGAAAGAAAATTCCTCCTTTCATGGCACACAGCCAACGTGGGGGGAGGGGGCATTGGCACTGCCAACTTGGGGGCAGAAGGGACTGGTGAGCTGCAACCATGTTGCCCACAGCAAGTGCAAAGAAGAAAGACTGGGTCCTATTTGGCAGAGCTGGGGCTGTGGGATCAAATCAGGTCTCGCTAGAAGCTCTGACGTTGGCCCCGGGTTTTTGTTTTTAATTTGGGGGGGGGGGGTGTCAGGGTCTCCCTATGTAGTTCAGGCTGGCCTTTAACTCACTATGTAGCTCAGGCTGGTCTCGAACGCATGGTGATCCTTCTGCCTCAGCCTCCCAAATGCTGGGATTACAGGCATGCGTCACCATGCCTGGCATGTTGTTTTAATTTTGAGACAGTCTCGCTAAATTGTTCAAGCTGGGCTCAAAAAAAAATTTTTTTTTGAGATGGGTCTTGCTATGTAGTCCAGGGTAGCCTTAAACTCATCATGCAACCCACACTGGCCTCGAACTCTTGGCAATCCTGGCTCAGCCTCCCTATAGCTGGGATTACAAACGTGCACCGCCACGCCCGGCTTTGAGCTCGAAGTTATGATTCTCCGGCCTCCGCCTCCCACAGTACCTGAACTGTAAATTGGTTTGTTGGGCAGTTTTACAAGGAGCTCCGAGTCTGACCTGCCCCACCTAGGCACGTCTACCTTCCATCTCCTCCTAACCGACCCTAGTAGCATCTGGCACGGCTTCCCAGTCACCCTACCCCCGAGTCCCACTGCGAAAGGTGACGCATACACCCGCTGCTCCGGCGCAGCAGCGAAGGCTGCAGTGCCCACGCTGGGTCTCCCGAGGTGGCCGGGACGCGGGGGATCACACAGTGCGGTCTGTGGGGTCTGTCCACGCCCTTTCCCCAGTGTGCCGGCCTCGCGCCTGCTTCGTCCCCGGCCCTGCACCTGCCGCCGCCGCTCAGTACGGTCATCGAGTCCGTTTCCTGACTCCCTTCACTCGCCGCCTTCCCTGAGAACGGAACTTGGAAGCGAGAACCTGCAGCCAGCATGGCTGAGAACTGACCGTCTCGTGCTGATTTGCCTTTACTCGGCCCGGCACCGCCGCAGTCCCAGGACCGAGCTTTCAGGATCTCGCGGGACTCCGCGAGCCTGACCCCGCGACGCCGACTGTGCGCGGTCTGAGTCGCTAGGGGCAGACACACTTCCGGGTCAGGCCTGGCCGCGGGGAATCCTGGGGTAACAGGCCGGCCCTTCCCGGGTCGGGTTCCGGCGTCGGCGCCTGACGTAAGTCTGGCGAGCAGGTCGCCTGACCAATAGAAATGAGGCATCCGTTGTATCCAGCCAATGGGATGCGTTGGGGCCGGGCCGTGAGCGTCGCGAGGAGCCGCCCTGCAGAGAAAGGGCCTGAAAGGCGTCGGCGGCCCAAAATGGCGACAGCGACGGCGGCCGCTGGAGTCCCCGGGTCGGCAGTGCTCACTGCGGCGGCCGGCGCCACCGGCTCGGGGGGCGCCACGCCCGGGTCGCAGGGGGTGCTGATCGGGGACAAGCTGTACTCAGGAGTGCTCATCACCCTGGAGAACTGCCTGCTGCCTGACGACAAACTGCGCTTCACACCATCCATGTCGAGCGGCCTGGACCCCGACACCGAGACCGGCCTCCGCGTGGTGGGCTGCGAACTCATCCAGGCGGCCGGCATCCTGCTGCGCCTGCCGCAGGTGAGGATGGCCATGGGCCTCGAGGGAACGGCCGGCAGTGGGGACCGTGCCCGGAACGGGCCCCGATCCAACCTGTCCCCCTCCCATAGCTGATCCTGATCCAATCCGTTCCGACCATGCCCCGAGCCAGCCCCGATCCGACCCGACCCGATCCTGCCCAGAACTGGCCCTCACCCTGAATCCCTGGCCCTATCCCCTAACCCAGCCACAAGCAGAGTCCTGGAGGCCTTGAGACTCAGCGATATTGGGGAACGTGAGAAACGTGTTATTATTTTGTTCCGGGGAAGTCTCAAGTTACTTGGTCTTGAGTGTCCGATCAAAAGTGATGGAAACTTCTCGGTCTCTAGGTGGCCATGGCTACGGGGCAGGTGCTGTTCCAGCGATTCTTTTACACCAAGTCCTTCGTGAAGCATTCCATGGAGGTAGGCCTGCCCCTTCGCTTCCTGCCAGGGGGATGTGCTGGGAGGAGTCCGGGTCTACTCGACCCCTTCCCCCCTTCCACTTTCCTTGCGTAAAGGCCTTTACCTCTTCACCTTCTCTTTGCTCCCAGTAACCCTAAGCCTGGGGAAGCCCAATGGGGGGAACACATCTGCTGCAATGCTTACATTTTAGCATGTATCCATGGCTTGTGTGCACTTGGCCTCCAAAATAGAAGAAGCTCCAAGAAGAATTCGGGATGTCATCAATGTGTTTCATCGCCTTCGACATTTGAGAGAGAAAAAGTAAGTTCCTATCAGAGCTATCATAGCACCTGTCATGGTTTAACTAACATTTCTGTGATCAAGCTCAGGTTGGGAGGTTTTAATCTTGTGGATGCTCAGTAATATGTTCCTATGTTCCCAGGGTTACCCTACGTGCTGCAAGGGCTTCGCTCAATGGGACAGTGGGCAGTTCCAGTCCTGGGATGGTCCTGTTTGCCCACTGTGGTTCGGTTTCCCCCAGAACTCAGAGCTCCAGTGTAGGGATTTGCAGTCTCAGCACTGGGGATTTCTTTGTTGAAATTGTCCTTTGTGCTGCTGCAGGATGTTAAGCAGCCCTGCCCTCTACTTCTGCAGTTGCGACAGCCAGAAACTTGTCCAGTGCTGCATCTAAAAATGCAAGTCAGGGGGCAGGACTGCAGCTCAGTAGTACAGTGGTTGTCCAGTAAGCACAAGGCCCTGGAATCAATTCCAAATGCTGCAAAAAAAAAATAAGGAAGGAGGGAGCCCCATCTCTTTTAAGTGCTGTTGACTCTTTGTATCTACAGCTTCCACATCTTCAGATTCAGCCAACCTCAGATTGAAAATGTTGGGAGAAAATACTGTGTCTGTACAGAACATATACAGATTTTGCTCCTTGTTGTTATCCCCTAGGTGGTACAGCACAGCGACCACTTACAAAGCATTCTGTACTGTCCAAGTCTCCTAGAGATGATTTGAAGTCTGTGGCTGCTGTGTGAATACTACACTGTTTTATGTAAAGGACTTGAGTGTCTCTGGATTTTGTTACTGGGATTGATTGTCCTGGAGCCAGTTCCCGAAAGATATGAGGAACAGTGTTGTGCTGTCATTTTCTAGTTTCCATCGAAATACAAGTCTGATCTCCTCTCTTGCATGTACTTAGTGGTGGTGCAGTGAGAACCTGAGTCTCCATCCAGCCAGCCAGTGTTGGGCACGGGACGCTGGCTGTCTAGATCAGTGCAGCTCAGGTTATGGAGGGAGGTTAAAGAGGTTGCCATTGGGGTTTGAGGACTCTGGTGATTTTACTATGAGGCTCATAGCTTTTCTTTTTTCTTTTTCCTTTTTTTTTTTTTTTGGTACCAGGGATCGAACTCAGGACCTTGTGCTTTCGAGGCAGGTGGCGGAACCACTGAGCTAAATCCCTGGCCCCTCATAGCTTTTTTGTATTGTGTTGAGATGATGTTTTCAGCCTGAGGAGTAAGAGTGGAACTTGACAGACCTTGTGTTCAACCCTGAAGCAGACCATGTGCTTTGACCTACAGGAAACCTGTGCCTCTGCTACTGGACCAAGATTATGTTAACTTAAAGAACCAAATCATCAAGGCAGAAAGACGTGTTCTTAAGGAGCTGGGCTTCTGTGTCCACGTGAAGCACCCTCACAAGGTGGGTTTAAGGCCGTTGCCTGTAACCTGCCACCCCACTCCTGGCCGCAGCAGCTCTTCGTTCTTGTGTCTGGAGGCCCCGAGGAAGCCTGAACGTGTTCCTGACTGGGCTTTCCTATGTCTGTCTGTAATCTCAGCATAATCCTTCACACATTAGCCTAATTTACTATCTGTCAATTTTTTCCCCACTACTGGGGATTGAACCCAGGAGTTTTCTACCATGGAACTACTCTGCTCCCCAACCTTTCTATTTCCATTTTGATACAGGGTCTCACTGAGTTTCCCAGGCCAACCTCAAACTTGTAGTTCTGCCTCAGTGTCTTGAGTAGTCACTAAGACCACAGGTGTGCACAGCTGTCCAGAGTTTTGGAAATGGCTGGTTTCGGTGGGATGATCCTGTATTCCCAGCTCTGAGGCAAGAGGATCCCAAATTCAAGGCCATCTTGGGCAACTTAATGAGACCTTGACTTCAAATGAAAATAAAGGCTGGGGATGTAGCTTGGGTGGAGTGCCTGCCTAGCACACGTGAGTTTCTGGGTTCAATTCCCAGTCCCCCCAAGAAAACAGTTTTGGAAACAGCATCTTTTAGGTTTGAGCTTTCAAAAATAGCAGTGACCTAGAAATTGAGTCTGTTAGTATACATTTTCCTTCTCAACAGCTCATTTTCTGAAGTTACCTTAGTAATAGCCTTACTTCCCTTTTTGGGGGGTGACACTGGGGATTGAAATTAGGGTTTGTTACTGAGCTAACGTCTGAAGACCTTATTTATTTATTTATTTATTTTTGGTGCCGGGGATCAAACTCGGGACCTTGTGCTCACGAGGCAGGCAGTGGAACCACTGAGCTAAATCCCCAGCCCAAAACTGATTTTAAAAAGAGATTACTGGGGGGCCGGGGATTTAGCTCATTGGTTCTGCCACCTGCCTTGAAAGCTAAGGACCCAAGTTCAATCCCCAGTACCAAAGGAAAAGAGAGCGAGACAGAGATTACTGGTTTATTTTTGTTGTTGTTGTTGTTGTTTTTTCAGTACCAGGGATTGAACTCAAGACCTCGTACTTGCGAGGCAGGCGTGATGCCGCCGAGCTAAATCCCTGGCCCAAAAGAGATTACTGTTTGCATCTTTGGTCCTAACCCCTTTTTATTGGGGGTTTCTTTATATCTTCTCTCTCCCTTGTTTCTGACACTAATTCAAATTCTTGGTGAATTATCCACTGAAGAGTTAAGTGCTTTTTGCATTGGCTGAAAGTAAGTTGGCTACAGGTGCAGTGGAGCCTGGGACAGGTTGACTGCACTGGTGCCAAAGGCACTGATGAGAATGAGAATGGGTCATGAGGGGAATGCAGCTTCCGTGCCACAGGCTACAGCTTGGTCCTCACACATGCACGTGGCCCACCTTTGAAAGAAGGTGGCAGCTCGACCCACAAAGGCTTGCCCTCCAGCCGAGCCACCTGCCGGACGTGACCAGGAGCCACCCCTGGGATCTAGAATGAGGTTCTTTGCTTCGTGGACACTGGCAAGATCTGACTCCTGCTCTCCAGGTTCTTGGTAATAACTGCCTGACCCATATCTTCCAGATAATCGTTATGTACCTTCAGGTGTTAGAATGTGAGCGTAACCAGCACCTGGTCCAGACTGCATGGTGAGTTGACCCTCCTTGTTTCGCGAGTCCAGCAAGGGCAGTGCAGGAATGTGTTACTTGAGGCACTGGGGCAGTGGGTAGTCGGTCCCATGACTTGGCTGTGGGCTGCAGTTGCCCCGGTGCCCAGTGATCTGCTGTGTAATTGCCTAGCAGCTTCCCAAAATGACAGGCACTGGTGTGACGGTAGGTGGCCCATCCCTGCCCCTGGGTTGCCTGTGTCCGCCTTGGGAGCAGTCAGTGGGGTTCCCCTTGGGGCTGTGAATTGGGCACAGAAGTTGCAGGTCTCAGGTTGGGGGGAGGTATCTTAAACAGCCAGGGAATTTCATCCTGTGGGGAAAAATGGGTAAAAGTTTTCTATGATTCTGGGCTGATTCTAACAGGCCCATACTAGAAAGGGAGGCTGGAAAGGCAGTTTTGTGTCTGGGGTGTCCTGCTCCCTTTTCCCCACAGAGTTGAGTCTTTAGGGGTCATATTGCTGACTGAATTGTCTGGTGCTATGACTCTTTCATCGAGAACCTGTTTTGACTTTTCTTTTCTGTACTCTTTCAATCAAAGGGTAGCCTCTGAGGGTAAGTGACTAAGACTTCTCCTCTGCTGTCCAAGCGCTTTGGTGCAGGGACAGCGGCCGTCTTCAGCCAATCCAGTGCAGGCTCACCACCGAAGGCCGGCTCTAGACTGGTGGTATCGTACGATAGTCTAGTCATGGCCGACTGCTGCTTGTGGCTCTGACGATTGTGCTTCTTGTTGGCCCTGTCGTGCTTCGGTAATCGTATCAGTTAGAGTTGGTAACTGTCTTGGCTTGGATTTTGTCTCCTTAAAACTGCTGTACTTGTACCATAAAGATGCAGTGCCTTTCTCTAAAAAGTTCTAAGGGAAGCTGTAAGAACTGAGGTGAAAAATTGGCTGATGGGAATTGAAGCCGTCGTACAAGATTATTTCATTAGTTCTTGAAGTCCTCAGGTTGCTCTTTTCAGCAGCTGAGTGGGACTCATTCTGGGAAAGGTGTGCATCTTTAAATTATTCCCTGGATACTTTTCAACATATTGTAATTTATTTCAAATAGAGCAATAAGTTTAAATATATGTTCTGAAGATTTAATTTGTTTATAGAACTTGATGGATTAATGCTATCACTATTTGAATACTGAGTATTTTTATTAGAAACACAAAGTTACTGATGGCTGTATTTGTCAATGTTTGAACTGTTCATCTGCGAAGTCATTCCTGAGACAAGCTGCTGCACTGACACCACATGGCTCCCATGGGGGCTGCGGGCCCCCCCCCCCCCGCCCGGGGTGGGGGCATCTCTAGAATTGATCATTGAGAATCTGTGTTTGAGTGTGGCCTTCTCCAGGGTCAGGGGAGAGGTTAGGGTGGGGGAACCGCACCCTGGTTCCAAGGACACCATGCTATCTGTTGTTGGGGTGGTGGGGCAGTAAGTGAATATGTGACTTCTCCAGCTGTTTTCTAGCAGAATTGCTTGTTTTTGCAATATTGATAAAGCTGGTAAGAGGTTTAGATGTAGCCTATAAATCTTAGAGAAGTATATCTGAAGGAAAATGTTTTAATTTTTTTAAAACTGCAATTTTGTACTTAAATGTCTTCTAAAGTATGATAAAGTTTATAAATGTACTTATGTGATAAACTTCTAGTATCTTGTTGCTTCTGATTTTATGGATGTTCATTTTAAGACTCCTTGTTGAAATGGGACAGTTTGGAACGTTCTTTGATAAGCCTGAGAAGAGGACTCCTTGGGCATTGGCCTTCCGGACGGTCCCTTGCACCGGAACTGCACCCAAGGGCCTGTCCCTTTCCAAGTGGACTCCCTCCTGGAAGCTGTGGCTCAGTCATCTGGAGGAGGACCAGGCCACAAGTGCTCTCCACTGAAGAGGATCACAGGAGGACAGCTTGTCTTGGCCGCAAGGCTTCACACTCAGCCCGTTTATTTGAGTTTGCATGTTTCTCTGCACTCTGGATTTTGAGCATTTAGATTTCTTTAACCGAGTACATTTTAACCACTAAGTAGCATTTTCTTTTCGAGGCATTGTGCTTTGCATGATGGCAAGCTAAAAGTTGAGGGAAAAGTAAAGTTAAAGTCGGTTCTCGTTCACAGCAACACATACTGTCTGACATTCAGCCAGCTTTGATCCCCTCAGCGATTTCTCTTTCTTACGTTCAGAAAAAGCAGCTAGAATCTCCTTACCTCTGGGCATTCCTAGGACTGCTAGCTCTCGGCCCTAGCGGTAGACCACTTTAGAGTAGCGGCGGCCCTAGGGAACACGGTCGTGCGGGGCTGCTGGTGCACTGCAGTTCTCCCTGTGCTTGGTTTCAGGAACTATATGAACGACAGCCTCCGCACAGACGTCTTTGTGCGCTTCCAGCCTGAGAGCATTGCCTGTGCCTGCATCTACCTCGCTGCCCGGACGCTGGAGGTCAGTGTGCTGATGTCTCAGCTCAGCCCAGCCCTCCAGCTGGAGCCCATGCCAGCACTGTGTGGAGATAGCAGGCTGCTTCTTAGAGCCTGAGTCTTGTGGCCTTGAGGTTGTTAAGAGGAATGTGACATAATGCTGTTGTGTTCACAGATCCCTTTGCCCAATCGTCCCCATTGGTTTCTTTTGTTTGGAGCAACTGAAGAAGAAATTCAAGAAATCTGCTTAAAAATCCTGCAGCTTTATACGCGGAAAAAGGTTCTTTGTGTTTTCACATAGCATATGCATTTGTGTTCAGCCAGAAGGTTCTGGTTCTGAATAGGTGGGTTCCGGCCCCTTAGGTGGATCTGACATACCTGGAGAGTGAAGTGGAGAAGAGAAAGCATGCCCTGGAGGAGGCAAAGGCACAAGCTCGGGGCCTGCTGCCTGGGGGTGCACCCGTAGCGGACAGCGGTGCGGGGTTCTCCCCTGCTCCGAGGCCAGGTGTGTGCTCCTGCCCCAGAGCCTGGGCTTCTGCCTGACAGGCCACCGGTGATCTTCCGAAGGAGATGGGGTCTCTGAAGATTTAGTTTTTATATTTTCTTTGGTACCGGGGATCGAACTCAGGTCCTTGTGCTTGCGAGGCGGGCGGCGGAACCACTGAGCTAAATCCCCAGACCAGCCCACGTTTTAATATTTTCATTAACAAGCAGTAAGGATGGGCATTTTGGGATCCTTTTGTTTACATTCAGTGAGAAGTGTAAAATCTTACTAGATTGTATGTCAGGTGCTGGGGCTTGCCGGGACAACGCGCAGGTGCAGAGGAAAATGCCCTAGTCAAGGTGCCTCTCTGGGTCCTGTGGTGTCTGTTAGGTTCTGAGCCCTGAGCGGGAAGTTACGATCAGCGTTTGTGTCCCCCACACCCCCCAGAAAAGCCCTTATCTGCCAGTGTGTTTCTCAGTGAACAATTTTCTGAGGGTTGGTTTTGAACTTCCTGTGCTTTGCAGAGTCGCCCACAGGAGGCAGAGGAAACAAGCCTTCTCCACTGTCTGTGAAGACTGCCAAGAGGAGAGTGGAGGGTGCAAAGAAAGCCAAGGCCGACAGCCCTGTGAATGGGTAGGACACGAGCTGCTGGGTGGCTGCCGGGTGGCCGCGGCCTCTGGGTCTGTGACTGCCTTCTCCTGTCTGCAGCTTGCCGAGGGTGCGCGAGAGCGAGAGCCAGAGCAGGGAGCAGAGCCGCTCGAGGTCCCCTTCCAGGTCCACGTCTCCCAAGAGGAGGTGCGTGCCCAGCGCGCCCCCCCCCGGGGGGGGGACTCAGGCTGGCAGGGTGGCCGTTTCCCCCAAGGGACAGTGGCTCTTAACCTGAGATGGGTTCTTGTTTTCCGCACCCCTTGTCAGCCCCGAGCTGAGATAGTCGGTCGCACCTGTGGTCCCAGGTGTGCTGTCCTTCCTCACAGGAAAAGTGACAGCGGCTCCACGTCTGGGGGGTCCAAGTCACAGAGCCGCTCACGGAGTCGGAGTGACTCGCCACCAAGGCAGGCGCACCGAGGTGCTCCCTACAAAGGCTCTGAGGTGAGGAGCTCCCGGAAGCCCAAGGATTGCAAGTACCCCACTCAGAAGCCACACAAGTCTCGGAGCCGCAGCTCATCCCGTTCTCGAAGCCGGTCACGGGAGCGGCTGGATCACTCTGGAAAATACAAGAAGAAAAGTCATTACTACAGAGATCAGCGGCGGGAGCGCTCGAGGTCCTATGAGCGCAGTGGCCATCGCTATGAGCGGGACCACCCCGGGCACAGCAGGCATCGGCGGTGAAGGGGCCTCCCCAGACCGCTGCCTCAGGCCCTTCCTGGGGGTGCTTGGGGACTGCCCTCAGACCCTCCAGGGGCACCTCGGCACCAGTGGCCCTGGACTACCACTAGTCTTTCTGGAAATGGTGTTTTTGACCCTGGGCCTTGAGGTGAATTTGGAAATGGAATTGAGGGAACAGTGAGGGGGCCCTTTGGGCCAGCGTGGGGTGTGGCACACATGGTTCCAGCCAAAGGGTTCAGCTTCAGCCCCTCGGGCAACTCGGTGGGAAAGCAGAGACCTGAGTTCCTGTTAGGGTGGCTTGGTGCTATGGACAAGCTGTCTCTTCACTTCCATACTCAATTACGTTCAGTCAAGAAAGATGATTTTTAGAACCTTTGCCTATATTAGGTTGTACTTATGTAAATATTTTGCAGTGTTTCACAATGAGAAAATGGCCTTAATAGCCCCTTATTCTCTATCCATGTGTAAATAAACATGTTTAATACAAGTGAAAGCTATGTATATGAAAACTCAGAACTTGAATTCTGCCAGCTTAAAACTGTGTAAAAGATTCTGATTTTTGAAACATGAAGGTATTTAGGTCTGTGTTGAAAGTCGTATATTTTTATCTGTGCAATGCTGAGTGCAGGCCACCAGCTCCTAAATAGAGAAGTTTCCTATATGCATTTTATGTTGTTGAATAAACACAATTCTCTCTTCTCAGGACACTTGGGACGCCAGAGACTTTGTGGTTGTGCTTTGCTCATCAGGGCCTGCAGGTGTGCACGGCCAGCTCCACCAAGTGGGGCCACGTTCAGGATGCTGTTCCTGCCCCCCTCGCCCTCACTCAAGTCCTGGGCTTTGTACTGAGCTCCAATGCATCTGCTGGAAATGGGGAAGGACAGGCCAGGCCCTGGCGGTCTCAAGTGGGAAGGCGGCTGGGCATATCTGTGTGGGCCGCCTGCAGTACCAATATGGGGAGCCAGATGCCCGGAGGGCTCCTTCCCCTGGCTGGGCAGGTGGGCAGCGAGTGCAGGAGCTGGGCTGTTCGGGACAGAAGTCTCTGGGGCAGTCAGTTACCTCGGGCTGGCAAGGGGTCACCCGAGACCAGCACCTCTAGTCAGAGCCTGGTGTGGCAGTGCTGCAGGAAGGCTGAGTTGCCATGGGCAGAGGCAGCCCTACTGGTTTGGGGAGACTGGCAGAGCCAGTCCCTTGGTACTGTGGGAGGGTGGTGGGCATGTGGCCCCAATGCATCATGGTCCTGGGGCGGGCCTCATGCTGACCCTCTGCAGCCCAAACAGCTGCAGCCCTGTTGGAGGTAACTCCAAGCTCTTGGTCTCCTTCAGCTGCTGCCTGGGGGCCCTCCATTATCAGCAGGGCCACAGGAATGGTCTGCTCTGAGGCAATCTCCTGTCCCAGGGCGCATCGGGGCAGCACAGGTCCCCTCCTCCCTCTTCTGCTTCTTAAACCCCAGCCCAGCTTCACATGGCCAGCACCCCTTCCCTGGGTGCAGTGCTGCGCTCCCATTTCCTTCACAGTGCTCAGCCTGCAGATCACAGGAACCCTGAATAACTAGGAGTTTATAACATTTTATTTTTTTATTTTTTTGGTACTGGGGACTGAACTCAGGTCCTTGCACTTGTGAGTCAGGCAGCAGAACCACTGAGCTAAATCCCCAGTCCCTACTAGGAAAGATGTTTATTTCCCTTGGCTGCTGTCTTTGGCTGTAGAACAGCAGCTAAGGAAATGTGAAAACTTCACAGCAGTGTGCTGGGTTCTGGCACTAGCTGGTGCCAGCACTTTAACACTAGAATCCGACAAAGCAGTGCCCAGTGGTGGCTCCTGGGACCCCAGATGAGTGCCCCAGGCTAGGGCCTGCCCTGGGTCACTCCTACCCTTGACCCTCCAGCCTCCCGCCCAGATAAGCAAAATTTCTTTCTTTTTTTGTTGTTTGGTATTGGGGCTTAAACTCAGGACCTTGCACTTTTGAGGTACGCATGGTGCCAATGAGCTACATCCCCAGTCCTCTATTTATTTATTTATTTATTTTTTTGGTACTGGGGATTGAACTCGGGTCCTTGTGTTTGCGCAGCAGGCGGCAAAACCACTGAGCTAAATCCCTGGCCCACCAGCCCTCTATTTAGACAGAGTTTTGCCATGTAGTTCAGGCTGTCCTTGAACTATCAGGCAGACCTCCTGCCTCAGCCTCCTGAGTGCTGGGATTACAGGCAAATTTGTGAGAAAGACATTTTTTGGAGGCAATTTGGAATTCTAGGAAAAACAAGTATGTGCAACAATTATATACTTGAGAGATTAAAGAATTCCTTTGATTAAAAATAAAAAGCTGGGCTGGGATTTGACTCAGTGGTGCGGCAGCTGCCTTGTAAGCATAAGGTCCTGATCCTGGGGTGGGGTGTGGGGGACAAAAAATAAATTAATAAAAAATAAAAAGCTGGGGACAGTACTACACATTTGTAATCCTAGTACTCTGGGAAGTCGAGGCAGAAGGATTGCAAGTTTAAGCTCAGCCTGGGCAATTTAGTGACTTAGCAAGAACCCCTCAAAAAAAAAAAAAAAAAAAAAGCAAAGGCTGGGAATGTGACTCAGTCAGGACAGAGGCCCTAAGCTCCATCCCCAGTACAAAAAAGAAAACTGACCACATACCCTCCCGGATCCTTCCATTGTGAATTTTCTTCCTCAGATCTTAGGGAAGATTGGGCTTCCTGGCCTGGCTGGGTCTGCCTGGTCTGGCATGGGATGCCACCACACGGGCTCTGTCACTGTTGTGGGAGGAAGCGACAGGTCTGGTGTGGACGCCCACCAGTGCCATTGTCACTCCTCCCACGGCTCCACACAGCTCCTGGGCTGGAGGATCCCCAGCTGTGTACACCCATGCTCATGGCACTGTCTGCCTTTGGACTTCTCAACACTTACACCTGCTGTGGACTGAGCTGCATCCACACGCTCCTGCCCCATTTTTTTGAGACAGTCTTGTTAAATTGTTAAACTGCCCAAGCTGGGCTGGAACTTGTGACCCTTACGCCTCAGCCTCCCAGAGTGCTGGCATTACAGATGTGCTCCATCCCACCTGGCTACCGCCTCTGACGGATTCTCCCTTGCCAGGTGAAGGGCTGGAAACACCAGTGTTAAGAGTCAGGGTGTAGAGGGCACCATCCAGCCACTTTGTGCCAGAACCCTTTCCTGGGGAAAGCTGCGCCTCTGGGTGAGGAGTGGGCTACCAAACGGGAGAACATTCATCAAACCCTAGCCAAAGTAGCACCACTTTGCTGTGGACAACTTAGCTGTCTGGTGGGCCCTAGCCCAGCACTAGGGAGTCCAGCACTGCAGCTGAGCTTGGTGAGGGGTGGAGCTCCTGGATACAGGTAGGATGTGAACTGGAACACAACTTTCCCCATGAACTCTTGATTTTGATTCTTCTTTTTGCTGATTTCCTTACAGCTCCATATAAATACTAACAGTGTGGGGGTGCTTTGGTAGTGCAGCTGCAGGTGAGCTGTCCTTCTGTAAGTGATCTAATAACTCACTGACTTGTCGAGCTGGACTCAATCTGCCTTGCTCTATCCGCACTGTTCCAATTTGGAGGCAGAGGTTTGTCTTCCTGGGAAATTCACAGGACATGCTTTGTTCCCTGTTTGGGAATCTTGGGCAGTTCGTCTAGGAGGTAGGGTACAGCGTCACCTTGTGACCTCTGCCGCAGAGCTTGCAGCTTCTGCCCTTACACTGGCCTGCCCTCTCTTCCACTTGCCCTGGCTCCTTAGATCCTCCTGCAGGCCACCTCTGAGTAGCCCCTCTCCACGTTCCCCTCCCACCAGCATCCTGCGGTGCCACCCTGGGATTCGCCATCCCCGACAGGACGTCTTTCTGGACTAGAGAAAAAAGTGGCGCCTTGAAGAGCACTTGCCTATGTCCTCAGGAGCAGCATTAAAAGTTCAGTCAGGGCCGGGGAGTTAGCTCAGTGGTTCCGCCGGCTGTCTCGAAAGCACAAGGACCCGAATTTGATGCCCGGTACCAAAAAAAAAGTTCAGTCAAAACTATGGGGGCCGGGGATTTAGCTCAGTGATTCCTCCGCCTGCCTCCTAAGCGCAAGGTCCGGAGTTCGATCTCTAGAACCAAAACCGAGAGTTGTCAAAACCAATCCTCCACAGAGTTTACTTTGCTTTTGAGCAAAAGTTAAAGCCTAAGTGTGATGTGTGTGTGTGTGTGTTTTGAGTCAGGCTCTCTCTGTGTAGTTCAGGCTGGCCTTGAACTCACTATGTAGCCCAGGCTGGCCTCGAGCTCGGCGATCCGAGTGCTGAGATTACAGGTGTGCACCTCCACACCCGGCTGAGTCTGATTTTTGTTTGCCAGGCAATTACTATCGGAGCCGGTCTGCCTCAGAGTAGTCTCCGAATTAGGGGAAAGTAGGTTGGGAAGTCAAAGGGATGGCTGGGGTAGAGGCCTCCAGGGTCCCCAGCACCGGCCGCACGGCGGGCACGGGCGACTCCAGGTGTTCGCGAGCCGGGGGCCCACGCTAATCGCCCCAAAGCTCCCGCCGTCCCCACCTTGGCAGGGGTCATCCCGGCTACCGGGGGCTCGGCGTCGAGGTGACGGACCCCGCAGACCGGTAGCCCTTCGTCCCCAAGACAGCCATTACCACAGCCTCACGGGGCGGGACCCGCCGCCGCTACCACACGCCGGCGTGCGGCCGGGCCTGGGCGAAGGCAGTCCGTGGGACTGTGGGAAACTGAGTTTCCTGCTGGAGCAGGGGACGAGGCGGAACTGACGTGCTGCGTGAGGACTGGGGCGGAGACGGCGCTTTTCTAACCGGAAGCTGTCGCTGGCGAGGGCTGGTTTTGGGGACGGACTGAAAGTTCCCGAGTACGGCGGCTGAGTGGTTAGTTTGAGCCGGGTTGTTGGACCTTGAGGACGTGGGGTACTGCGTCGGGCCAGGCCGGGGTGGGACCGCCCTCCCGGGCCACAACCCTCCGATGTGCTCGGGCGTTGACTGCGACCTGCGCTGCGGACTCGGGTGTTCGGGGAAACGGAGTCTCGAGGCAGGCGCGTGGCTTGCAGAGATTTGAGCCCGACTCTGGGCTCGAGGGCGAGCGGGTTTGCAGTTGCACCTCGGCGGGACCGGCTGACCGAGGTGGCGGCTCGCGGGGTCGTGCACCGCCCGCCCCCGTGACTCCGCGGCGCCTGTGTTCCAGCTGGAGCCCGGCCGCCGCCTCCCACAACCATGTTCCTGGCGCGCCTGACTTCGCGGTTTGCCAGGGCCGTGCCCTGGGCAGGTACGAGGCGCGTGGGTCAGGGATGTGGGTCAGGGGTGCCATAGGGCCTCGTAACAGACGAAGGGGGTGGCAAACCGGGAACAGGTACGTTTCATTCACCCGCGGGGACTTGCAGCCCGTGCCGGGTGCTGGCGGCGCTTGTCTGCTGTGGATTCACGACAGTGCCTGCTTGTGTCCTCTCCTGCAGGGTGTAGTCGGCCGTGGCCTGTCTCGGTGGCTCCGGGCAGCCGTGCCTGCCAGCGCCCACACAGCTTGCAGCCCGCAGGCCTGAGCAGGACGGCCTTCCTTCCTGGCAAGGGGCCCCAGCTGGAGCTTGAGGAATTGCTGGTCCCCAGGAAGATGGCCATCAGCCCCCTGGAGAGCTGGCTGACCGCCCGCCACCTCTTACCCAAATTGAATGCTGGGACCCCAGCAACTGTGACTCCAGGCCAATTCTACCAGTGTCCTCCCGGCCAAGTGGAAGAGGGGACCAAGCAGGTGGATGAGGGCGTCTGGGATGCTCCGCAGATGCAGTGCAAAAATGTCCTGAAGATCCGACGGCGGAAGATGAACCACCACAAGTACCGAAAGCTGGTCAAGAGAACTCGGTTCCTACGCCGAAAAGTCCAGGGAGGACGCTTAAAGCGGAAGCAGGTGAGTGGCCCCTCTTTGGGCCTGAGTGGACAGAGTGGCTGGGAGTGTGTGGATTTGCCAAAAGTCCGTTGATGTTACTCTTTCTGTCCTCACAGGTGAAGTTTGAGAAAGACTTGAGACGCATCTGGCTGAAGGCCGGCCTGAAGGAGGCCCCCCAGGGGTGGCAGACCCCCAAGATCTACCTGAAGGTTAAATGAGCCCTGGTCTTGTTTCCACGACCCACGTGCTGCTGGTGACACGTAATAAACATTGGGAGGTCTCAGTGTCTGGGCTGGCCTGGAGCCTCGTCTGCCTCGAGTGAGCTCTCGGGAGGTAGCCTGCCGGTCTCTCTGTTATGGGAGCCCAGGGCCCAAGGAGTGGCCAAGTGAATGTTCCTGCCCAGTTGGCCCTTGCTGTGCCTGTGGGGTGACAACTTGCTGGGTGAATGTGTGCTGTGGAGTAGCTGAGAACAGCTTCTTGGTGGGGATTTTAAAAGCGCACATGGGTAGTGGAGGGCCACACTGGGTAGTGAGGGTGACTGGGTTATATTCTAAGAATGAGGATGCAGGCAAGGCCCTATCCCCTGGAGATGGCAGCTGGCCCATGCAGGCTCCGGACTCTGAGCCATCCTTCCTGGCTGAAGTGGTCCAGCCGAGAGACAGGGCATCTGCACAGCTCCGAGGCGTCCCAGTGCCTGCTGTCGGCTCCTCAGCCTCTGCTGATTCTCCAGGTTCGCTTGGGTGGGGCTGGTCAGAAATGGGGTGTGTGGGCCGGGGATGTAGCTCAGTGGTTCTGCCACCTCCCTTGCAAGCCCCAGGACCCAAGTTCGATGCCCAGTACCAAAAAAAAAGAGAAATGGGGTTTGGTTGAGAAGGTTCAGGCTTGGGGCCAGCTGAGGAAGGGATGCTGTTCATATAGCTGAAGAACCCAAGGTCTTACCTCAAGACAAGCCCTGCGATTCCAGCTTCTCCTGGTTTAAGAGGTACACACCACCCCTAGCAACTAGGGACCTGGAGGGCCCTTGGTTTCCTGTGTCAAGGCATGAGGAGCTGAACTGCAGGCACAAAGAGTGCAGTGTGGACCCTCCTCTACCTTATTTCATGTCACTGACCTTATTTCTGAGTTATGCAACAGGAACACAGACTTAAATTTCCTGGGCCTCAGTGTCCTGCATTCCCCACCCATTAGGAGTGGTCCACCTCTCACCAGCACCAGCACTTCGAGGACTTCTTGTTTTATTTTTGTGGTGCTGGGCCGGGGATTTAGCTCAGTGGTTTTGCCACCTGCTGCGCAACTGCAAGGACCCAAGTTCGATCCCTGGTACCAAAAAAAAAAAAGAAACTATTTTTGTGGTGCTGGAGATCAAACCCAGCACCATGGATGCATTAGGAAGACTCTACCTCTGAGCCACATCCCCAGCCAGGGCTTCTTGTTTTTTACAGAAACATCTCTAGGGCCTGAGCTTAAATCTCTGCGGATTAGGTCTTGGGAGGACAAGAAATTTGAGCATAGTTCCCTGAAGTTCCCAGGAAAGAGTGGACATCATATCCATAATCCTACACTGCTCCTGAGCCAGGGGCCCCAGCCCTGACCAGTGAAGTAAGCAGGTTTCTAAACACGAAGTGGTCCCTGTCCATCAGGACTGGGTTGTGAGTCCGGAGACTGTGGTGGTGTCCTGTGCCTATGCTGGTGGCCACCAGGGGGCAGCAGTCAAAGCTGGCAGACCCTGGGTCAAACTGGAACCAGAACAGCTATCTGGAAGCTTCCCAAGAGGGCCCCGCCCACCAGGGTCCTAGGTGCCTTCCTGGATCTGAGATTCCCCAGGGGCAAAGATGGGGTCCTGGGCCCTAGCCTTTAGCAGTGGAACTTCCGACAAAGCACACACACACACACACACACACCCCACCCCCGCCCTTGGCTGGTGCCCATGACTGCTAGCCTTCAGCAGTGG